CGAGCTCGAGAATGGACAGTCACAGGCTTGCGGATGATCAGCCCATCTTTGATCAGCTTCCGGATCTGCTGACCTGGGAAAGCACAAGGCACCTGGTCAGTCAGCTGGGGCCCAGCCACACCCTAGAGTCCAAATGGAACAGGCCAGAGACACTGCTCACATTAGTGGTCTCAAAAATGACAGAAATACTGAAACCTCTGTTTATCTCTTGCCTTCTAAAAAACATTTCTACTTTTTATTTTAAGATGGGGGTCTTGTTATGTTGCCCAAGCTGATCTCGAACTCCTGGGCTCAAGTGATCCTCCCAACTCAGTAGCTGGGGACTATAGGCATGGGCCACCACATCCAGCCATTTCTACCTTTCAAATGTATTATAACACACTCGAAAGAATGAGCCTAATAATAATGACTCCTCCATTTTATAGGTCCGCTGAATTACGATCTTTCCTAGGTTTCTAAAAAGTCAACACAATTATGTTATTGTTCATCTGATGCAAGATGAGGGAAAGGGCAGGGTGGAGAAGAGACAGAAAACCCAAGTACTCACGGGAGTTGGCGTTGGCAATTTCATTAGTCTCATTGGGGTCCAACCATACCTTCTTTTTGCCACAGCGGAGGACACTAGAGGCAAGCCTCTTCTGAAGCCTGAGCATACTGGACACACAGAAAACTTTACTATCAGACCATGGAAGTCACTCCTGGACAACAATGAGCAACCCCACCTGGACCTGCCCTCTAAAGTCTTTTAGTGTTGTGAGTCACAACATATGAAAAGGTGGATGAAGTCTGTATGTACGCTTACTATTACGGGCAAGCACACTACCTTCCCCTCAAGACTTCTGCCACTCACATTACAGCTCCCAAATGAAAATCTTTCCTAAATCATGATCTTTGTTAACACCCTAAGCGGTGTGCAGCTGGCCACCCTGGGATTAGACTAGAAAGTCCAAGTTGTGCCGTAACATCTCTGGGCTTGTTTTCTCCTCCAGAAAATGAGATTAAGGACTTAACTGGGATGAAGAGGGTTTATGCCATTTCTGGTATTCAGCTGTAAACACAGTGTTTCAATCTGGGGCAAGGGCAATATACATAACCTAACCATCTGTACCTCCATAATACGCTTAAATAAAAACCAACCAGTGTTTAAAGTATCCGAGGCCAGTGGACCTGATTTCTGGTCTAGGAATGCAAGCAAGTTCCTCTGCTTTCCGGGCTCATTTCCTCGTTTTACTATAGTATTAAACTAACTTCGGCCATTCTTAGAGATTTTTCTTACCAGTGACCAACGGAGCGGAAGGCGTCAGAGTTACATAGAGATCGCCTCACTCCCGGCAGGCAGAGGCCTGGGGCCTACGCCAGGCTTGTCCTACGTCACATGAAAGCAAAGGGCTGCTCGGCTCCGGGTGCGCCCAGCAAGTAAAGGAGGCCACGGTTCAGTCCCCGCCGTTGCCTTTGCTCTACCCACGTTTGTGGTCCCCGACACATGTGGGGCGCGGAGCCTACCAAGTCAGCCCTTTCCGCGTCTCGAGTTCTCGCGACGCTCCCCAACCCGGGTCCTGTAGAGGCCGGGGCCTAGTGCGCTCCGGCCTACCCCAGGCTTCGCGACCAGCCGCTTTGGGGTGACCCACATCTCATCTCTCCCACTCGGGGCTGCGGTACGAAGCCCCACCGTGCCCCGCAAGTACAGATTGGAGACCGAAGCGCCCTCACCTCATGGCTGCGGCCGCACTAGCGAAAGGAAAGAACTCGCTCCGGCCCGGCTCCTCCCATTACCTGCGAAGGGGAGAGCCCAAACCCCGCTGCACTTTCGTTCATATTCCTGTCCAGGTCTTTCATCTTCCGACAACCCAAACTCATTTATATGTTTTGTAAAGACCTGGTGTAATAGAAGCTTGATATCTGGAATCGGCTTAAAACTTAAGAACATAGAAAATATACCCCTTTCGTCGGGCAAAGTGGTATAGCCCGACTTCCTGATAGACATGCGCAGCAAGGGCGTTTGATCACGTGGGTATTAGTTAGCCGGAAGTCACGGCGGGTTGCGTAGGCGGGCTGGAGGGGCTTTTTGCTAGACAGCCCTGCTGTGTGCTGGCGTCCTGAGCTTTGGGAGTGTGTATTATTAGTGGGGGGATAAGTTAAGAGAATAATGGCTGCATGTATCAGACAAAAGCAACTCCTTATTTAGTCTCGTGGTAGATTGGGAGCCCCTAGAATGCTGAGTAGATCAACAGATGGTAGTTTGGTATTTTTGCCCCACTACTGGTCCTTAATCTCTTGGTGCCTCAGTTTCCATCTCTGTAAAGTGTACCTAATCCATTATAGAGATACACTAAATGTGCCTGATATTTTCATCAACCATTTGTGAAAATCTCATGAATTAACGTTTGTAATTAGCAAAGGAAGGCATTAAGAGGGCATGCTCAGGCCAGGCGTGGTGGCTCACGACTGTAATCCTAACACTCTGGGAGTCTGAGGCGAGGGGTGGATAGCTCAAGGTCAGGAGTTAGAAACCACCCTGAGCAAGAGCTAGACGCTGTCTCTACTAAAAATAGAAAGAAATTAATTGGCCAACTAAAAATATATACAAAAAATTAGCTGGGCATAGTGGCACATGCCTGTAGTCCCAGCTACTCAGGAGGCTGAGGCAGGAGGATCACTTGAATTCTAGACTGGCCTAGGCAACATAGTGAGAGCCCCCATCTCTATAGAAAAATGAGCCAGACCAGTTGGCACGTGCCTGTAGTCCTAGATACTGAGGAAGCCGAGGCAGGAGGATTGCTTGAACCTAGGAGTCTTAGGCTGTAGTGAGTTAAAATCTTGCCGCTGCACTCCAGCCTGAGCCACAGGAGATCCTGTCTCTTTAAAAAAAAAAAAAAAAGGTAAGCTGTTTTAAGGGCAGGAACCAGTCTTCCGTTTGGCTCACAACTAACTATACTGCAGCAGGCAGGGAACCTCATACATAGTACACACCTGAGAAGTACTGCATTAGCTGAATAAATGATAGCAGAAAGTTAATTAAAAAAAAGTTGAATGGCAGGACTACCCATTCAACTTTTCCTTGTGATCTGGAGCACCCATTGCAAAAACCCAAGGAGAGCATTCTAGGGTTCAAAAAGTTTAGATCTGAGTTCTGGCTCCAACAGTTGATTGGTTCCTGCTCATCACCCCGTCTCTTTCATTTGAACTTTCCTGGCTGAGAAAGTCAAAGAAGGAGAAAGGGAAGCAACATTTATGCCATTTCCTCACAACACAATTAATGTCATCCTCATTTTACAGCTGAGGTAATAGATTGAGAACACAGATCTTCCTGATTGCAAAGCCCATGCTTTCCCTGTCATGTCAGGCTCTCTTGTCCCCAAGGGGCAGGTGGGAACCCTGCTCAGGTTTGGAATTATTATTTTTTTTGAGACAGAGTCTCACTCTGTTGCCTGGCTAGAGTGCCGTGGCATCAGCCTAGCTCACAGCAACCTCAAACTCCTGGGCTCAAGCAGTCCTACTGCTTCAGCCTCCTGAGTAGCTGGGATTACAGGCATGTGCCACCATGCCCAGCTAATTTTTTCTATATATTTTTAGTTGGCGAATTAATTTCTTTCTATTTTTAGTGGAGTCGGGGTCTAGCTCTTGCTCAGGCTGGTTTCTAACTCCTGACCTTGAGTGATCCACCGCCTGGGCCTCCAGAGTGCTAGGATTACAGGCATGAGCCACCTCACCAAGCCAGGGTTGGAATTCTTCATGGAACTATTCTAATGGGCTTCATCCTCACTCACAGCGCCTCCTTCCCCAAGGCAATATAATCAGAGAAATGACCTGGCTGCCATTCACTTATCAGAATCTAGGGTGAGGAGGAATCCTGTAGTTTCCCAGCAGACAACAGCAAGCTGGCCTTATTTTAGGGTCACTTGACCTGGGCAAGTCTTCTTCATTCTATTTCTCATCTTCCCTCTTTGTGGAGCAGGGGAAAGTGTAGAGAGGGAATAAGTCCTCCTGTTATGACTGACTACTGCAATTTATAGCTTCTCCACATACACCAGCAATCCATCATTTAATTCTTCCTCATCCTTCCAATAATCCCAGGTGACAAAAGACAGCACAGTACTACCAAACCCATTTTATAGGAGAGAAAACTGAGGATCAGAGAGGTGTAGTGATTTGTCCAGGACCACACAACCAGAAAGAACCTAAGCCAAATTGGCACCAAGGTCTCTTGCCAAAATCCCATATTCCTCTTCTCTCCACTGATTCTGGCGGGTGGAGTCCAGGCCTTGGATATTTGTCCCCAAATCAAGCATAAAGGTAGAGCAATTCTAGGTCAAAGGTCATGAGATCTGATTTTACCAATCTCTCCTCTCTCTGCTCACCATTTCTTCCTCCTCTTTCCTTTCTCTTCCAAGGAATGGTGACCTCCCCCAGCTCCACTCCTGGCCTTTCAGAAGAGCCTAGGGTAACCTAGCGACTGATTAGGGCAGAAGGACTCCTGGGTCCCTGGGATTCTTTTGCTCTCTCTGTTGGGACCTCCCCTTGGACACCCTCCCAGCCTCAGGCTACCATGTTGGAGGGGGGCCTTTCTGTTTGGTTCATGGCAGCCTGGACCCCACACTGGGGAGAAAGGAGTTAAAGCCGGGTTCCAGGATCACCGGGACCGGGAAGTTTCGGTGGCCCAAGCAGGAGTGGGTTGGGGAGACCGGCTGGAAGAGCGGTTTGGTACGGAAAGGGGGGCGGTGCCAGCTATGCCAATCCACGCTTCACCACCATCAGCGCTCGGCATCCTCTGGTAGACCGCCCCCCACTCCACCTCCAAGCCCCTTGGCCGGTTTCGCCCAGCCGGGTCCCAGCAGGCCGCCTTCACCCTAGGTCAGTCAGAAGGCAACCATCGGCCCCCCTCCAGAGCCGGGAGAGACTTGCCTAGCCCTGGCCGCCCTCCCATTGTGTGCGCGCCGCCGGCGGAGGGGCTGCGGGGGGCGGGGCCGGGGCGGGCGGAGGGAGGGGCGGGGGGGCGGGGGGAGATGCTGAGCCTTCCGCGGAGGCAGCGGCGGCGGCGGCGGCAGTGGCGAGAGCGGGAGGAGGGAGGCAAGGCAGGAAGCGGGCAGCCGAAGGCCGGGCTGTGTGGCTGGACCGGGTACTGGCTGCGCTGCGCTGCTCTCGGCTCCGACGGCCTCTCCCATGCGCTGAGGGCGCCCGGGCCGGAGGCCGGAGGGGAGGCTCCTCTCCATGGTCCAGAAGACCAGCATGTCCCGGGGCCCTTACCCACCCTCCCAGGAGATCCCCATGGAGGTCTTCGACCCCAGCCCACAGGTGAGGCGTGGTGGATGGGCCTGAGGGAAGGGGGCCAAACGCAGAAATTGTTGGGGTCGGCTCGAGGGGCGCCGGGATGTAAGGGGTTATATGCTCGTCGTGGAGGGGAGAGGGGTGTCTGCGCGCCCCCATCCTCGAGGGTTAATGATTGATGGGTGCTTGGCGGGGAGTTGGGCTGCGGTGCTGCTGAGCTGGGAGGGGGTGGGTGGGCCGCCTGTCACCCCCGCCTGGTAGTCTCCCTGGCGTCAGGGTCCCCGCTGCTGAGGTACTGGCTCCAGTGGGCTGAGGGTGGGGGTGCTGGCAAGGCGGACCCGGGCCTTGAGAAAGGGAGGTTGAGGGAGGCTGTAAAGCGAGCCAGGCAAGAGGGGCGACGCAGAGCACGCCTGGGGGCGCTGAGCGGGTGTGGGTGGGGCGGGGGTGGCACTGGGAAATGGCTGAGGCGATGGTCAGAGGGCGGTGCCAACAGGCCTTCGAGGTTGCAGACGCTGGCTCTCGAGGGTGGGGAAAGGGCCAGCCCAGGGCCATGCCCCCCTCCCACCCCCTTCGGCTCCATCCCTATCTTGGACTAGTTCCCCTCCCCCCACACCCACGTTGGCTTACCCCGGCTCCCCCTCTCCCCTGCCGCCTCATAAACGCCTCCAAAGTTTGGAAAGTTGGATGGATGCCAACTCAGCGTCCAGAAGGGAAAAAGCGGTTTTACCTTGGGAAGGGGTCTGCCGCCCCGCCCCCACTCACGCACTTTTCCTATGTCCCTAGGTTACCCGGAAGAAAGGGCATTCTTGGGCTTAGTGGGTTCCCATGGGGTAACCAGCAAGGTGTGGGGTGGTTGTGTCCAGGGGATTTCTTTGGGACTGTCCTCCAAGGATAGCATTAACTCTTCTATTGCTGGGGTCAGCTTGTACCAACTGTAACCATCATGACAATGTGGTCCATGGGTGTGTAGAGTGTCAGGTCAGACCTAAAAATACCTCCTTTCTCCACCCCAGGCCCCTTGGAGCCTGGAGGCAGCTGACTGGGGCCTTCCTTTCAGCTGTCCCCTGTCCCTCTGAGAGTCACTCCCTTTGCCTAGCCTGGGGGGTGGGGACGGTGGCGGTGTGAAAGAGTCTGGGGCTCACTGGGGAATCCTCTTAGGTTTATAGGGAGCTTCAAAACTAGAGTTTGGGTATATGTCTAGTTTGAGAGATGTGGAGGGGAGGGAGGATCCTGGAAGGGTCCCTGGGTCTCTCCTATTGTCCATCCTCCTCAGGTCCCAAGAGCCAGAGCCCCCAGGCTGGTGGTCATGGCTCACCTGGGTTCTTTGGCTAGAGAAAGTCTAGGATGGAGGCTGGGTGCAGTGATTGGAGGTCTGAACCCTCAATCACTCTCCTGTCCTGGACCGGGCTGGGCCAAGTGTGTGTTTGGCAGTTGAGGAGCAGCTCCTTTTCACAGGAGGCCTGGAAATACCTGAAGCTCTTAACCTGAATGTGTGGCTGCCTCAGCGGTCAGGCAGTATCCACTCCACCCAAGCCAAGAGCCAGCCTACCCCCCAGGGACCTGTGGGGCTGTGTCCTAGGCTGGGCGTGGGGTGGGGCCAAGGGCTTTTAGATTGACGTAGCCTGGTGGGTACCATGGGGACAGGCGTGGGCAGTGGCAGCTGGGGGTAGAGGGTGGAAGCATGATCCCTCTTGCCCCCTTAGGGAGGGGTGTGGCCACTGCGATTGTGAGGAGGGGGGCTGAGAAAAAGTCCTGCCAGAGCAGGGGTGGGGGTGGGGAGCAAAATCAGACCTGTGACGTGAGGTTGGACTGGGGGTGTATGTTTGCTTTCCAAATACATTGCTCCCGTTCCCTCCCCAGAAAGCTAGCTTTGGGGCTTCAAGAGCTCAGAGCTGCTACCCCTCCCTACTCTGAAAAGCAAAGGGAAGAGTTGGGTGCAGGGGAGAAGCCAAGCTGGGCCCTGGGTTTCCAATTCCTCCTCCCTGGGAGCCACGGGCAGGCGGGCGGGTGCAGTCAGCCCACTTCTGCTCCAGCTGAGGAGGAGGGGAAGGCGGACTTTCCCCGCTCTCCGCCCCCCAGCACTGCAGGCAGCCTCTCCCTTCCTTGGAGGCCTCTGCAGCCTGCCCAGCATCTTAATTAGCTTTACTGCTAACGAGCCTCCTGCTCTCAGCGCTTCCCCCTTCCCTGCCTCTCTGGCTTGGTTTGGGGGTTTCAGTGCGGACCTCCTAGGGCTCTCTTAAGCTGTTCCCCACTCCTGGCTGTGGTCTGGGCCCTCTCTGTGAAGATGGGAGACCCCCCCCTTCCCCTTGGGCTGTACCACCTCCAGAAGGAGATGCAGGGGCGTGGGGGTGGGGCTGTTCTACTCAGGGAATGAATTCCCCAGGCTCTGGGGCTGGTGGATGAGGGCTGGGAAAAGTCTTTTCTGATTCTACTCTTGTTCCTTTCTGGCTTCACCAGGGCAAATACAGCAAGAGGAAAGGGCGGTTCAAACGGTCGGACGGGAGCACGTCCTCAGATACCACATCCAACAGCTTTGTCCGCCAGGTAAGGGGGAGGCTGGGCTGAGAGGAGGGAGGTGGCTGGTTGGTGGAGGCCAGCATTGGGGATCTGGGTGTGCGGCTTTCGCCAGGCACCCTTTTCCTTGTCATTTGTTACCTGCCTGGAATCACCCATCACCCTGACTCCCTGTGACCTCCCCTGGATGTACTGTCAGCTGCACCCACTCCCTCAGCCCCCGCCCGCACCCAGCCCCTCCCCCAGCACCAGGCACCAGCTCCTGCTGCCTGCCTGCCTGCGTCATCTCATTCAGGGACAGCCTGGCCTGCCTCCTAGCTTGCTTTGGGCTGTCACCCACTCCCCCTGCCGGCTGTCTGCTTCCATGTCCTCCCCCAGAATCTGTGACAGGGTGGGGTAGAGGCAGGTCCTAGGAAATGAAGAACAGTGACATTTGGGTCCTTGTAGCCCATTTGAGGTGCTGATCAGGGAGACACACTCCTCACATCTAGACGTGACTGTTTAATGTTCAGAGAGAAAGTGTGATGGGGAGGCGGTTAAGGCATAGAGTCTGAGATTTTAGAGGGGACTGTAGTACAGCACCCCTGACCAGAGGGGAGGGACTGAGAATAGCTTTCTGGGGTTCCCTGTGCTCAGGCAGGAAGCTGCCACTGTCACATTTCTCCTAACTCTCAACCCCAGGCCATCTTAGGCTCAGGGAGAGGTGATGAGAGAGGCATGTAGTTGCTATGACTACTGAGCATCTCAACAAAGCCTGGTACCCAAAAAAGGCAAGAGTGGCCTGGGATTAGATAAGGGAGAGGAGTACATTGATGAGGAAATGGGCTGGGCACCCAAGGGCAGAGGACAGCAGGGAGGAGGGGCTCACCTCCCTAGCCCCTTGGGCCAGGAGAGAGAGGGTAATGCCAGGCAGATCCACCACAGATTGGGGTGAGGCCTTCTTTTGATTCTTCTGTCTTTATAACGCTTGGCACATGTGAGCCCAGGCCTGACATGGGAGGTTCAGGAAGAAGTTCCTTCAATCCACCCTTTCTTTAGTATACGAACAGACAGGAAGTCCTTTCTTTAATCGCTCCCTTATCCCGCTCCATTATCCTGCCTGTTGGAGGCCAGGGCCAGGGCTAGGAAGAATGGTGCCCTGCTTTTGTAGTCCATTGTCAGTGGCAGAAAAGAGTCTGGGTTCCTTTAATGTTTGCCACCCCAGGGGGTCAGACCCCAGCTTCCAATTCTTTCTCCTCTTAGCTCCCCAGCTCTGACCCCCAGGAGGTGGCGGGGAGTGGGGGGGCAGTGCTTGCCACATCTCTGAGCTAAATATACCCTAGCAGTTTGCACATGTAGCAAGTCTACTTGTAACCTGAGCACCCTGGGGGAACTCAGTTTGGGCCACCCCCTAGGCCAGCAGGGCCAGGCACTGAGGGCGCCGGGATGGAGGTGCCCAGCCCCAGCCGGACCCTGGTGGTGGTGAGCCGGGGATGGAGCGGGGGGTGGCAGTGGGTAGAGCAGCCCCTCGGGAAATCTGGTGGAGGGGGGCTTTCCCTCCAGCTGTCTCCTTGCCTCCTCACTGTTTCTTGTCTCCTACCATTTCTGATGCATGTGTCTGTCTGTCCGTCTACAAGTATACTGGGGTCCGTGAGTGCCTGTCTGCCAATCTACCTCTGTGTCTGTTTTTCTCTGGCTCGGGGGTATCTCACTCTCTGGCTCCGAGTGCTCCCAGCAGCAAGGTGGAGAGTGGGGACTAAGTTGTTTTCACTCTCCCATCTTTGTGTCTCTTTTCCACCCTCTATTAGTCCCCCACAATCCCCCACTTTCTCCATGAGCCTCCCATTTTCATGGTTTGGCTTGGAAAGGGATGGGCAACTGCACCAGCTAATGCCCAGGGGCCTCTGGGGAGAGGTGGGACTTGGTCTTTCCTCTTTCCCAGGTCTTCTTCATGCCAAGCTAATGGACATTCCTGGCCAAGTGACCCTTTTCTGTCCTTGGGAAAGACCCCCCACATCTCTATAGTCCTGCTCTTCCCCACTTTACCGCCCACCCCTCATCCAACCCTACCCCGCACAATCACACGCAAGTCTACACCTCCTGGTTCCTGCCCTCACGTGTCTCCCACCATCAGGGACACAGACACCTGGGGCACTCCCCGGGTTGCGCTCATGTAGCTGTGCAAACTCACTTCTGCACAGCTAGCACATACCATGGAGCACACCCATGTAAACATGCTTGCAGTTGCGCATCTAAGCACACATGTGAATAAGCATGTGCATTTCCACTACCAGGTCTGTACAGGCTACATTGTCTTACACATATGTGTGCCCCCCTAAGGAGTTCATTGTGCTCTGGATTGATCAATGTGGTCAAAGCCAGCTTCCTGGCACACCCAGACGTCTGAGTCTGCCTTAACCATGGCACCAGGGAGCCCTAAGTACTGGGGAAACGCCTGCCCCATATTCTGCACTTAACTTGCCTCTTGGCTCCACCCTGAGAATCTTGGGTTCTCTTAGATCTTATGAGAACCTGAGAGTTGCGGTTGTGAGTGGGGAGGTTTGATTCTGCCAGTCCATCTCCCTCCTCCCTCGAGCAGAACATAGCAAAATCTGTGGTGGTCTCATCATGCCCACTGCCGACCAGGCTGCCCACTGCCAATTGTGCAGAAAACTCAGGCCCAAGCTGGTGACTTCAGTCCCTGGAAGGCCTGCCATTGGATCTCTGCTGAATCTATCTCAGTGGGTGCAGGGGGCAGGGGAGGGAAGGAGGAGCAGGGGTGGAGACTCATCCCCTGGCACTCCTCCCTCGTGTGTGCCCCTATCAGGTTCCCACCCCTCCCTGGGCCCCAAGCAGCTGTCCTTGGACCTGCCTTAACCTCCTGCTTGCTGCTGTCACCCTCCCTAGGGCCATACTTTTCCCAGGGGCCTGCAAACCTCAGCTCTTGGCCCCTTCCACCTAATACTACCTTTTCTTAGCCCTTATGGCATTATGCGGGGCTGGCTGGGGCTTGAGGCATCCACGATGGGTGGCACCTCCATGGCTTCCCAGGCCCAGGAAATGAGGGAGGCAGCCCTGGCCCTGAGCTGGCCCTCTCTGTTTTTAGGGCTCAGCGGAGTCCTACACCAGCCGTCCATCGGACTCTGATGTGTCTTTGGAGGAAGACCGGGAAGCCTTAAGGAAGGAGGCAGAGCGCCAGGCGTTAGCTCAGCTCGAGAAAGCCAAGGTGAAAAAGATGTGGGGACGGGCTGTGCTGGCATTGTTTCCCCCCACCCCCAGGCCTTAGAGAGAGAGCCTGGAAAGAGCCAGGGTCAAGTCCTGGCCCAGCTGCTTTGTAGCTATGGGCTGGCCCTCTTTGTGCCTTTGTACCTTACCTGCAGACTGTGGGCTACAACACCAGATACCTGCCTCCTTACACAGTGTGATCAGTGCCTGCTACTGTTCCACCACAATAAGGGCTTGATAAGTGCTAAAAATTCCCACTTCTTCCCGGAATCAAACTTCCTGGAATCTCAGCCCTGGCTCTTAGTAGCTGTATGATCTTAGGCAAGTCACAGCTTTTCTGAAACTTCAGTCTCATTCATTAAAATGAAGATAATAATACCACTTAACTTCATAGGATGTTTGTGACTAATAAGTCAAATAATACAAATGAACCATTTAACATAGTACCTGGCACAGTAAAGGGTAGCTAGTGTCATCATTATTATTATTCCTTCTGGGTTCCATTCTTTGTACCGCCAAACCCCAGCACCAACACCTGTCATTCCACAATGCCTCCTCTACACTGAGAGGGCTGACTTCTATTTTTTGCTTTGTTTTTTTTTTTTTCATTGCAAAAGTTAACACACATACAGAAAAATACACAAACAAATGTGCATATTAATGAATATGCACATTTAAAAAAATGTGTATATTTATTCTTTTAGAGACAGGGTCTCACTGTGTTGCCCAGGCCAGAGTGCAGTGGCACAGTCCTAGCTCACTGAAGCCTTGAACTCTCGAGCTCAAGTGATTCTCTGGCCTCAGCCTTCTGAGTAGCTGGAACTACAGGCGAGCACCATCCACCATGCCTGGCTAATTTTTTTTTATGTTTTATTTTTGTAGAGGTGGGATCTCTTTATGTTGCCTAGGCTGATCTTGAACTCCTGGGCTCAAGTGATTCTCCTGCCTCAGCCTCCCAAAGTGCTGGGTTTACAGGCATGAACCACTGCACCCAGCCTCAGTATACATTTTTTTTTTTTTTTTTTTTGAGACAGAGTCTCACTTTGCTGCCAGGCTAGAGTGAGTGCCATGGTGTCAGCCTAGCTCACAGCAACCTCAAACTCCTGGGCTAAAGCAATCCTGCTGCCTCAGCCTCCCAAGTTTCTGGGACTATAGGCATGCACCACCATGCCCGGCTAATTTTATATATATACATATATATATATATATGTTAGTTAGCCAATTAATTTCTTTCTATTTTTAGTAGAGACGGGGTCTTACTGTTGCTCAGGCTGGTTTCGAACTCCTGACCTCGAGCAATCCGCCTGCCTCGGCCTCCCAGAGTGCTAGGATTACAGGCGTGAGCCACTGCTCCTGGCCATCAGTATACATTTTAATGAACAATTTACAAAGCAAATATCTGCATGATCACCACCGTCAGGAAGTTGTACATTACATTGCAGTTTGACCTTCTGGTTGTCATCCTCTACTGTGTGCCTCCTCTAGACCAAGCCAGTTGCATTTGCTGTGAGGACAAATGTTGGCTACAATCCATCTCCAGGGGATGAGGTGCCTGTGCAGGGAGTGGCCATTACCTTTGAACCCAAGGACTTCCTGCATATCAAGGAGGTGGGGAGAACACTTGGTGTCTGGAGGGAGGGCAGGGGAGTAGGTGGCGGGAGAGGGCCAGCCACAGCCTTAGTGGGAAAAAAGGCTTCTGTGCCAAGCAGAGCTGGACTGAATCTGCTGTGTGGCCCTAGACAAATCCCTCCACCCCTCTGAGCCTCTACTTTTTCATTGGTAAAATAGGGTGGTAATGCCTGGGTCACAGGGTTGTCGGACCACTGGAGGTCTGAATGGAGTGGCAGTGTGCCAGGGACATGTTGGTGTCAGCGTTTCCTCCTACAGCCTTTCTAGATATGGGTGGGCACATGGAGGGGGGGACTCTCAGAATGGGGATGTCCTGGGGGAGGGGTGGTCCATGGCCAGAGAGGATGCTGGTCCTGGAGTTGCACTGGGAACTGGGGGCTCTACAAAGAGGCTGGAGCCAGGGGTGGGGAGCTTTGGGGGTGCCACCGCCAGGCAGGGAACCCAAGTTCTGGAGGGTGACTGCTGCTTGCACCTCCAGCTTCCCTCTCGGCATCTCCACCCCACCTGCCGTGTTGTCCACAGAAATACAATAATGACTGGTGGATCGGGCGGCTGGTGAAGGAAGGCTGCGAGGTTGGCTTCATCCCGAGCCCCGTCAAACTGGACAGCCTGCGCCTGCTGCAGGAACAGAAGCTGCGCCAGAACCGCCTCAGCTCCAGGTGTCTGGCTGGGGGCGGGCACTCCCAACCCCGGGAGAGGCCGTCCAACCAGGATGAGGCCTCAGGGGTTGGCCCCTGGCCCTGAGGCACAGAGCTGCCCCTGGCATCACCAGCGGGGCTGGAGAACCTCCAGGGGGAGCGGCGTGGGAGAGGACAGGATTACCCCACCCCCACGCTACCTCTTTGCTCACAAGCTCCCTTTGCCTCTCTGCTCACACAGCAAATCAGGTGACAACTCCAGTTCCAGTCTGGGAGACGTGGTGACTGGCACGCGCCGCCCCACGCCCCCTGCCAGTGGTAAGAGCTGCTGCCACCCAGGGGGTTGGGGGGCAGCTCCTGGGTGGGGTGGTCCACCCACTTCCTGGCCCCTCCGTCCCCTGCAGTAGGGGGCTCCCCCGTCCTGAGTCCCCCACACACGTGCGGCGGTGCCCCGTCCGTGAAGAGTAGGATACCCCCAGGCTGGGCCTGTCACGTCTCTCCTCTGCCCTTGCTCTGGCAGCTCCATCTCTCTGCCTGGTCCCCTGCCCCCTTCATTTCTCCCAGCCCTGTTCCATTCACCTCTTCTTCTTTCTTTTCTCCCCACCCCCACCCCTGCGTTCTGTACTGTGTCTCCACGTCCATCTCACTCCTCCCCACCTCGCCTCCCTCCTCCCTCTCTCCTGACTCTCCGGTCCAGGTAACGAAATGACTAACTTAGCTTTTGAACTAGACCCCCTAGAATTAGAGGAGGAGGAGGCAGAACTTGCTGAGCAGAGTGGCTCTGCCAAGACTAGTGTTAGCAGTGTCACCACCCCGCCACCCCACGGCAAACGCATCCCCTTCTTTAAGAAGGTAATTCTTGCTGGGCTCTGGCAAGAGACAGGGAGTCAGGACCCAGCTCTCTGGTGGGGGAGAGGGGCTGGAATGGATTCTCAAGGGGTATAAGCCTATTCTGTGGGTGTCGGAGCTTCCTGCAGAGGTGGAGGGAAGGGTAGTGTGGGCACAGCCATCTCCACGCACAGCCACACCCTGGCCTGCTCCCCAGGAAGGGCTGGTTCTTGCCCGTGGAGGGCTGCCCACCCTGAGGAGGCAGGGTCTGGTCCTGACAAAACCTGGCCTTTCCCTCACTGCCAGTGGACTGTCCAGTGTCTGCCCCACCTCGGCACGTGAAGTGGAGAGCGGAGTGGCATTCCTTCTTTGCCCGCTTTCCACTCCATGGGCGGGCGCTCGAGAGGCAGGGGCCATCTACTGGCTGCAGAGCAACACGGTCAAGGGAACACTTAAGATGGGCAGGCTGGCATGTACTGGGGCAGGAGGTGGGGGCCAAGTTAGGAGCTGTCGTCCTCTCCAGCTCTTTTCCAAGACCTAGAAGGGGGAGAGGACGTGTCTGTATATTCCCAAGCCAGCTGGACTATCAGTCCTGCTCCCAGCCCTCATCCAGGGCCATCTCTGGCTTCCCTGTGGCATGGGGTCCCGTCCCCTCTCTCTGGCTCTGTCTGTCACTAACACGCATGCCCTGTTATCTCTCCTGGTCTGCCCGCTCTCCCTCCCTCTCTTGTCCTGGCTCCTTCCTTGCCCTCTGCCCCTGCCTGGGTCCCCTTCCCTCCCTCCTCCCCACCCCCTCTTTTGGCATTCTCTGGACCCAGCCAAACAGAAGCAGAAGTCGGTGAGTATCACAGCTTTCTGTGTCCCCTTCCCACTCCCTGGGATGAGCTAGGGGGACCTTCTAACACCCATTCCCATATCTGTCCCCGTTTCCTCCTCCCTCCCTGGCTCTCCCTGGCCATCCCTCCCAACCCCACCCTGATCCCTACCTCTGGGCTCTGGGACCAGGGGGAGGAACGGATGCATGGGGGAGCCTGAGGCTGGGGGAGAGGGGCTGATACCATCTCCACTCTGGGGTTCCCCTCCCTGCTTCCCCCAGACAGAGCATGTGCCCCCCTATGACGTGGTGCCTTCCATGAGGCCCATCATCCTGGTGGGACCGTCGCTCAAGGGCTATGAGGTAGGAGCGCCTAGAGGGGAGTGCACCCAGAGGGGCCCAGGCCTTTGAGAGACTCCATAGAAAGGTCTTCAGACCCCAGAGAGATGCCCCAGAGGGCCCGGATCCCCAGGGTGTCCCAGAGGGCCCGGATCCCCAGGGTGTCCCAGAGGGCCTGGATCCTCAGACCTTCAGAGAAAACCCCCAGAAGGGCCTATTGCACAGGGAGACATACCCGGAAGGGCCCAGTCCCCCAGAGAACGCCCCCGGAAGAGCCCTCCCAGAGATGCCACCTGGAAGAACCTTTGGAATCAGAGACTGCACTGAAGGCCCCTCGACCCAGAAGGACCCCCGCCCCATAGGGGCCCATGCATCTTGGGAATGTCAGAAGAAAGTGGTCCCTGAGGGTGCGAGTACCCAGCAGCCCAACCTCCTGAGTGGCTTTCAATGCCTGACTCTTCCTCCCTCCCTCCCTTAATCCCCAACCCCAGGTTACAGACATGATGCAGAAAGCTTTATTTGATTTCTTGAAGCATCGGTTTGATGGCAGGTAAGACCCTGGGAACTGCTGCTCACTCCTGCCACGGCTGTCTGCTGCTGGAGCTGGGCAGGATGCCTCGAACGACAGTCCTGGGACTCTTGACTGAGGGACAGGAGGCAGCCTGGAGTGGGGCAGTGGGCAGAGCATTCCAGCTCACCCCAGCCCCTGACTGCCTCCCCACCCTGTCCCCAGGATCTCCATCACTCGTGTGACAGCAGACATTTCCCTGGCTAAGCGCTCAGTCCTCAACAACCCCAGCAAGCACATCATCATCGAGCGCTCCAACACGCGCTCCAGCCTGGGTGAGCCCATCCTGCCTTTTTATTTTTTTAGCATATTATGGGGGTACAAGTGTTAAAGTTACGTATATTGCCCATGCCCCCCTCCCTCCTCGAGTCAGAGCCTCAAGCGTGACCATCCCCCAAATGTTGCACATCTCACTCATTGTGTTTGTATATATCTATCCCCTCCTTCCCCTCCCACCTGCCTGACACCCCTGCCTTCTTCCCGCCCCCTTTCCAGGCCAGATGTGGGAAGGGTGGGAGGTGGTGGGCAGGCCCATCTCCAGAGTGTTCCCTCCGCACGCTGCCTCCTGGGGGGCCGCCTTACATTCCCTCCTCCCGGTGACTCCCTGCCCCAGCTGAGGTGCAGAGTGAGATCGAGAGAATCTTCGAGCTGGCCCGGACCCTTCAGTTGGTCGCTCTGGATGCCGACACCATCAACCACCCAGCCCAGCTGTCCAAGACCTCGCTGGCCCCCATCATTGTTTACATCAAGATCACCTCTCCCAAGGTGGGTGCTGGAGCCTGACCCTGGCAGGGATGGCAGGGACAGCATGATTTAAGAAGAGTGCTCTGGAGCTGGGCTGCTTGTGTTTAAATCCCAGCTTTACTGCTTACTAAACGTGTGATTTAACCTCCTGGAGCCTTAGTTACCTTTTCTCAAAATTCCATCATATTGTGAAGATTCAACCTAATATATATATATATATATATATATGTTTATTTATTTATTTATTTTTGAGACAGAGTCTCACTCTGTTGCCCAGGCTAGAATGCTGTGGCTCAGCCTAGCTCACAGCAACCTCAAACTCCTAGGTTCAGGCGATCCTCCTGCCTCTGGCTCCTGAGTAGCTGGGACTACAGGCACATGCCACCATGCTTGGCTAACTTTTTGCATATATTTTTAGTTGTCCAGCTAATTTCTTTCTATTGTTTTTTTTTTTTTTTTTTTTTTTTAGTAGAGATAGGTCTCAGTCTTGCTCGGGCTGGTCTTGAACTCATGAGCTCAAATGATATGCCCACCTCGGCCACCCAGAGTGCTAGGATTACAGGCGTGAGCCACTGTGCCGGCCCCAACCTAATATGAATGTATAGCACTTAGCAAAGAGTCTGGTACAACGTATTAGGTGTTATTGATATTATAATTAGGGGCCAGGCAAGGTGGCTCATGCCTATAATCCTAGCACTCTGAGAGGCTGAGGCAGGAGAATTGCTTGAACTCAGGAGTTCAAGAGCAGCCTGAGCAAGAGCAAGACACCATCTCTACTAAAAATAGCAAATCAGCTGGGCATTGTGGTGCGCACTTGTAGTCCCAGCTATTTAGAAGGCTGAGGCAGGAGGATTGCTTGAGCTCAGGAGTTAGAGGTTGCTGTGAGCTGTGATGATGCCACTGCACTCTAGCCTGAGTGACAGAGCGAGACTTTGTCTCAAATATTTTTTTTTTTTTTGAGACAGAGTCTCGCTTAGTTGCCCAGGCTAGAGTGAGTGCCCTGGTGTCAGCCTCTCGCTCACAGCAACCTCAAACTCCTGGGCTCAAGCAATCCTCCTGCCTCAGCCTCCCCACTAGCTGGGACTACAGGCATGCACCACCATGCCCAGCTAATTTTTTCTATATATATCAGATGGCCAATTAATTTCTTTCTATTTATAGCAGAGACGGGGTCTCACTCTTGCTCAGGGTGGTTTTGAACTCCTGACCTTGAGTGATCTGTGGCCTCGGCCTCCCAGAGTGCTAGGATTACAGGCGTGGGAAGCTCTTGAATGTGTTCCTTTGGCTAGTCACCTAACATCTCTCTCTATGTCTTTGTTTCGTAGGTCATGCTCCAGTGGTTGTTGTAATGGTTAAATGGATAGATTAACCATGCAAAATGCCTGGTACCTACAAAGCATTATATCTACTCTATTTTGTAAAACGATTTTTATTTCCAAATAATTTCAAATTTATAGAAGTGTAGCAAGAATACCCTTCAGCTTCCTGAGTAGCTGGGATTATAGGCGTGTGCCACCACATCTGGCTAATTTCTTTCTATTTTTAGTAGAAACAGGGTCTCACTCTTGCTCAGGCTGGTTTTAAGCTCCTGAGCTCAAGCAATCCTCTCACCTTGGCCTCCCAGAGTGCTAGGATTATAGGCATGAGCCACTGGGCCCCGCCCCAGATTCACTAATTTTTTTTAACACCTTTGTTAATAGAATTGACATCCCATTTAATTCAGCCACTTAAAACATATAGTCTAATTTTTTTCAGATTCACTAATTTTGAAAATTTTTACTTTTTAAGACTAGTAAGATGCAAATCCTTGTCTGTTTTTGTGTGTGTGTGCCTTCCTGAACCATTCGAGAGTAATTTGTAGATATTGTATGTCTTTAAACAAGAATATTATCTTACATAACCATAGTGCAATTATAAAACTCAAGAAATGGGCTGGGTGCGGTGGCTCACGCCTGTAATCCTAGCACTCTGGGAGGCCAAGGCGGGAGGATTGCTCAAGGTCAGGAGTTCCAGACCAGCCTGAGCAAGAGCGAGACCCCGTCTCTACTAAAAATAGAAAGAAATTAATTAGCCGGCTAAAAATATATAGAAAAAATTAGCCGGGCATGGTAGTACATGCCTGTAGTCCCAGCTACTCAGGAGGCTGAGGCAGAAAGATTGCTTGAGCCCAGGAGTTTGAGGTTGCTGTGAGCTAAGCTGACGCCATGGCACACTAGCCCGGGCAACAGAGTGAGACTCTGTCTCAAAAATAAAAACAAAAAACCCTTAAGAAATGTTATCTAAAATACAGGACATATTCAGTTTCCACCAATTATCCCAATAGTGCCCTTTATGAATCCAGGAATCTACCCAGGATCACATGTTGCATTTAGTTGTTATATCTCTTTAGTCTTCTTTACTCTGGAACAGTTCTTCAGCCTTTCTTGGATTTTCATGATGCTGACATTTGGAAGCATACAGGTCAGCTGTTTTGTAGACTGTCACTCAATTTGGGTTTGTCTGATTTTTCCTTATGATTAGATTTAGGTTTTGCATTTTATTACCATTATGATTATGATTATGATTATTGAGATGAGAATGACTGTAGTGGCTTCCTAATGGGGTTATGGTCAAGACTTAAACTGATCCTGCACAGAGCAATGCTGGTTCATAGCAAGCACCCCATAAGAAGACTGTTGTTGCTGTTCTTAACATGGTGCAGAGGGCTGGGGAATGAAGCCTTTAAACAAGGTCAGAGGGCCGGACGCGGTGGCTCACGTCTGTAATCCTAGCACTTTGGGAGGCCCAGGCAGGCAGATTTCTCAAGGTCAGGAGTTTGAAACCAGCCTGAGCAAAAGAGAGACCCTGTCTCTACTATAAATAAAAAGAAATTAATTGGCCAACTAATATATATAGAAAAAATTAGCCAGGCATGGTGGTGCATGCCTGTAGTCCCAGCTACTGGGGAGGCTGAGGCAGCAGGATTGCTTGAGCCCAGGAGTTTGAGGTTGCTATGAGCTAGGCTGACGCTCACTCTAGCCTAGGTAACAAAGCAAGACTCTGTCTCAAAAATAAATAAATAAACAAGGTCAGAGGAGTTGGGAAGGATGATCACTACCCGTCATGGAGCCCCTAGGAGAGGCTGGCATGAGACCTAGGAGACAGCTGCAGCACTGCATAGGGTGGACACAGGGCTAGTGAGATCATTTCTGCAGAGGTGCTCAGGACTGGGAGTCACTGAGCATTTTCCCTCACCCTGACACTGTCTCTTCACGCAGATCCAACCAGGACTTGCCTTTTCGACAGGTGCATTGGCTGGGTCCTCTAGTTCCTCTTCCTTTTTTCCTCCCCAAACCAGGTACTTCAGAGGCTCATCAAGTCCCGAGGGAAGTCTCAGTCCAAACACCTCAATGTCCAAATAGCAGCCTCGGAGAAGCTGGCTCAGTGTCCCCCGGTGAGTGCCTAGACCCCAGGGGAAGGGAAGGGAGGGAGGACATTTGCGTTGTCCTGGTTTCCTCTGGCCTGCATGGGAGACAGAGTGACCAGGAACACCTGGACCAGGTGCATAGGTGCAGACTGATCTTCAGGGAAAAAGTGCAGGACAGGCAGAGACTGGGTTCAAGCCCCAGAAGCACCCCTGCTTGGTGGAGAGTCAAGCCCCCCTCTCCCAGTCTTGTTTGCCTTATCTGTGGAATGAGGGAGTTGGATTATCTGAGTGCCAAGACCTCTTGCAGTTCTGCCAATCTGTAAATCTGAGAACCCTCCTTCCCTTCCTCCACATGGAGAGGCTTGTTTTTAACCTTGTCCTTCAACCCCTTGACTCCACCCACTGCACCCAGGCCACACCCTCAACCCCTTTGGTCACGCCCCCGCTCATCCCAGCCCCGCCCCTAACCCCACCTCCACAGGAAATGTTCGACATCATCCTGGACGAGAACCAATTGGAGGATGCGTGCGAGCACCTGGCCGAGTACTTGGAAGCCTATTGGAAGGCCACACACCCGCCCAGCAGCACGCCGCCCAATCCGCTGCTGAACCGCACCATGGCTACTGCAGCCCTGGCCGCCAGCCCTGCCCCTGTCTCCAACCTCCAGGTACAGGTGCTCACTTCGCTCAGGAGAAACCTCACCTTCTGGGGCGGGCTGGACGCCTCGCAGCAGGGCGGCAGCCCTGTGCCCCAACAGCAGGAGCACGCCATGTAGCGGGTGCCCATCCGTCTTCCCTCCCGCCCATGGCTCGGAACTGGAACGGAGGGAACCCATATGGAGAAGGAAGGGAAGAGCTTTATTTTGTAAAAAACGTGGTGAGAGGCAGCTTCTGGTGTCTGTGGTTCTTGATGGGACGGGGGCTGGCTGGTGCTGCCTCCCTGGACCTGGTTCCATAGTATTAATCTGCTGCCTGCTAGATAGTAGAGCTCACTGGGGCCCTTGTAAAACCAGGGACTAGGAAGAAAGTATGAGGAAGACTGATATAATCATTAGCTGGACTCCACACCCTTTTTAGGCCCAACAGAGCAGGAGCCCTCAGACCCAAGGAAACCCACAGAGCAGGAGCCATTAAGCCCACAGGGACTGCTGCTCCCTCGGAGCCCTAACCCCAGGAGAGACCCAGAATGTAGCATCATCGTCTATGAGTTGGTGCTGTACGTTTCACCCTTCTCCCAGTGAAAGAGAGTTCAAGAAAGGCCCTCTCATGGGTGCCCCATCCTGCCTCACCCTCTTCCCAAAGGTGCCACAGCCCATTGCTGAGACCACACCATTAAGTATATGGTTCTAGGTTAGAGCCAGAAGAAACCCATGAAATCATCCTAGACTGTTGCTTTTCAAATTTGTTTTCAGCAGTAGAACACATTTATTCACTGAATCTTACGTGGTCTCTGAGTATACAGATAAGGCATCCTTGCTCTGCTCTGAGGGAGCTAGGGGCTTGGCCTCCCCTTCACAGGGACCCCTGAAGCACTTCTGTGCCCTCCCTACCCTGCCCTAGGTCTCCAGGGAACAGCTTGGAAACTGCTGATGTAGTCTAATCCCTATCTCACTACAACCACGAAACTGGGCCATAGAGAGGGGAATCATTTGCTCAGGGTCACACTGCTTGAAGTGGCAGGGGTGGGACAAGAACCCAGGCCTCTCCTTGCACCCCACTTGGCAACCTCCATGGTGGCAGTGGCCACCAGCTCACCTCCAAGTGGCATTGGTGTTGAGGACATTGGGCTACTTCATCATCTCCAGCGGGGAAGGAGGTCCCATCAACCAGCCTGCTGCTTCGAGTCTTTGTTGGAGGCAGAGGAACGATCCTATCAATCTTGGGGTGCTGGAAACCTATGATTGGGGTCTGGTGTGGGCTGAAGAAGGCAGGGTCAGCGAGTTTGAGCTGAAATCCCCTCTTAATGTATTTGGAAAACTGGAGGCAGTGACTAACCCAATCAACCACTAACGAATGGCAGTACTAATGAGCTGTTAATGTTGATTAACCCCAAGCTAGCATTAATGACATGCACTGAGGAAGTGGAGACTAATTGTCCATGGCTGTCTGCCATGGTTACCATGAGAGTTTGTGGTCCTCACAAAGTTGGGCTCCCCCTGTCGGGATAGAGGGGCGAATGCCCTGAGGTCTGTCCTCTGGCTAGGCTCCAGAGCCATTTGCCCCAGGGGCCCATGCCTAGGAGTTAGCATCCTCCTCCTTCAGCCGAGGTGTCTTGGTGCTGTCACTAACTTTGCCTTGCTTTGTTGTGTTTTTCTTACCCCTGCCTCATCTGCATGGTGTGTGCTGTCCGTCTGCTAACCAGGGACCCTACCTTGCTTCCGGGGACCAGCCACTGGAACGCGCCACTGGGGAGCACGCCAGCGTGCACGAGTACCCCGGGGAGCTGGGCCAGCCTCCAGGCCTTTACCCCGGCAGCCACCCACCAGGCCGGGCAGGCACCCTGCGGGCACTGTCCCGCCAAGACACGTTTGATGCCGACACCCCCGGCAGCCGAAACTCTGCCTACACGGAGCTGGGAGACTCATGTGTGGACATGGAGACTGACCCCTCAGAGGGGCCAGGGCTCGGAGACCCTGCAGGGGGCAGCACCCCACCAGCCCGACAAGGCTCCTGGGAGGATGAAGAAGACTATGAGGAAGAGCTGACCGACAACCGGAACCGGGGCCGGAATAAGGCCCGCTACTGCGCGGAGGGTGGGGCTCCGGTTCTGGGGCGCAACAAGAATGAGCTGGAGGGTTGGGGGCGAGGCGTCTACATCCGCTGAGAGGCAGGGGCTCCTCCGTGGGAGGAAGGGCTCTGGGCCTGAGGGAGGGGAGGGACAGAGGGGCTCAGCACCTGAGGTATATCTTGCCTCCAGGGGGCTTGTCTCCCTCCTTTCCGATGCCTTGCTCAGTGTTTGGGGTTTCTTTGGTGGTATTATCCCAGCTCCTGGGAGGCCCTTAAGCCTCAGCTATAGGTTTTTACCTACCTGCTGTGGATGGGTGGGGGGATATCCACCTTGCTAAAATGTCCCCTTTTCCCCATATTAGGGGGCTCTCCCCCCTTACCCTCCCAGAGAAAAGGTGCACTTCCTTAATTCTTTCTACTCGGGGCTCTAAGTGAAGGTCCTAAATGGAGTGGCCCTTCTTTTCCCAACCTGGAGAGGAGGCCACAGAATCTTTCCCATGGGGTTCCTCTGCCCCAAACCCCAGATCCAGGGTCCCTCCCCATGCCCGCCCCTCCCCCCAGCTTCCTGGCAGCATTGTCTGGTAGGTGAAAGCTACAGTGTGGAAACTCCATGGGGAGCTTGTCTTAGGAGGGTCTGCGTGGGAACTGGCAGGCATCAGATATAGCACCCTCTGCCCTCCATGGCCATGGCAATGCCAGGGCCTAGAACCCCGAGGAGTGGGCTACCTGAGACGCTGCTACCCACCCCACCACCTCCATGCCTCAGCCTTTGCCTACCCCAGGAATGAGCTTTGCCTACAACATCCCTTGCCTGCTGCCATCAGAAGAGGGGGGCCCCTCTGCATCTGAGCCCCCCACCCCATCCCCGTGCCAACTGGGTGTGGAGCCCATGGAACACTCTGGTCCGCCTCATTTTAAACCAAAAAATTGCTCCTTCACCCTCACCCTGAGGCCCCAGGGGAGAAGCCCTGTGGGTTGGTGCCCAGAAAGCATTGTCTGGAGTTTGGAAACTCCATGGGTGTGGAGCCCATGGAGCACTCTGTTTGCCTCGGGACCTGGGATCTCCCCTGGGGGGCTTGGCTGCTGCCTCCGCTGCTCTGTATCTGCCTCTTGTCGTTCTGTTCTTTACCCACGTCCACTGCCCCCAGGAGAGGCCTTGGGGTATCCCTCTCCTTTGGCATCCCCATAGCCCAGCAGCCCTGCCCCTCCCCAGCATTCTAGCTGGGCCAGAGAGCCGATTGTGCCAACAAGGACTGGGCCCTGCCCGGCTGCCCACCTCAGGGATGGGCACTTCATGCCTGTCTCGCCACCTCCTGTGCCAATGTTGCCCCACCCCCCACCTGGGGGTGGGGTGCAGCTTCCACTTACTGATTAGAAGACACCACTGCCCAACCTTTCCCCCTCCCTGTCTAGAGTCCTGTGCCCCCATCTATCTGTCTGTCTGTACTCCCCCAGGAGAAGTATTTTGCCATATATAAACCGCCGTCCTGTCCTTTGCGGCCACCTCCAAAGCCTGCTTCTTTGTTCCCAACACACGGTTGTCAGCCTAGGCACGTGGGAGCTGCTGACATGCAGGGGGACTGAAGGAGTGGGTGCAGCTTATTGCTGCACGCTGAGTTGTTGACTCCAAAGAAGAGACAGTTATTTGATTTGCAGCCCTCGTGTGCATCATCTCCAAACCGGGAGCCGCTTAGCCAGTTGGCTGCCCCCTCGGCCCTGAGCCCCACACCTACAAGTAGCCAGGGGAAAATTGGAAGCTGGGGTGTCACTCGGTGGGATCTGGAACCACTGGTGCAATGTGTGATGGGCTTATGCTTGGTTTTCTGCTCCTATGGCCTCCCTGTGCCCTGCTGGGGAGAGGGAGGGGCACAGCTTCTGACTTCATTAATGCCCCCCCCACACACCCTCCTGCCCCTGTTAATCAGTTTTGGGGGTGGGGAGGTGCTGCTTGTGGGGGGGGACTGGGCACAGAAAATTGGTGACTCCACCAGTCCCAGCCTGAATAGTGAGAGGAAGAAACTCTGCAGTGGCTGTGCCTTTTCCTGCCATCTCCACCTGGCAGGATGTAGACTTCTGACAGTTGTTATTGCAGCCACCTGTGACCTGCCTCACAGCACCCACAGTCATTTCCCCACCCTCCTGGCTCTTGTTTCTGGGCTGGTGGCCCTGGAGAACTAGAGTTCCTGGGTCCCCCACCTGAATGCTCAGGCCCAACGTGGGCATGAGAGAGAGAGAGAGTGTGTGTGTGTGTTTGTGTGTAGGAGGCGACAACATCCCCTGAGGCCCTCCAGATGAAGAGCTAGCAGATCAAAGAGGAACTGGGCAGTCCCAGAGGTCAAGTGCCTGAACCAAGTTCCCTGGGGAATTGATGGCAAAGTTGATGAGAGCTCGATGTGCCTCCCAGCACAGTGCTCTTCCCACTGCCTTTCCACAGAATCATGCATTCTTGCGTTCATTAATTGAACAAACATTTATTGAGCACCTCCTATGTACTAGGCACAAGTATAATTGGGAGTCGCAGGTAATGTCAGTACAGCACATGAACTCTCTGTTGTGGGAAGCAATGGGTATTGTGGGAACCTAGAAGGGGGGTCACTCCCTTGACCTAGGGATGTCAGGAGAGGCTTCCTGGGGGAGGTGTCTTGAGAGAAGTGTACATACATGGGAAGGGGTTAACCTGGGCAGATAAGTGCTCAAGGCAGAGGAAGCAGGGGACGTGCATGACATGTTCTTGGCACCTCACTAGCAAAGTGTACTTTTAAGGTGGTGGCCAGAGCGGGGTTGGCAGAATCAGGTCACAGCAGGCCTTGAGTCATATCAAGGAGTCTGGGCTTTGTCCTAGGCTGATGTGCAGAAATTGAAGGATTGTAAGCAGCGATGGCAAGATGGCCTCGGTTGTAGTTTGGGGCATAGCTTGGAGAGCCTAGCCTGGAACCAGCTGTGACACTCCAGGTGAGAAAGGAGGGTTTCCCTTAGGCCACAGCAGTGAGATGGGAAGGGAGGCAATGACAACCAGGGACATTTAGCAGTTACAATCGTGAGCTCTTGGAGAGCGATTGGAAGTGGCCAGTGAGAGAGAGGGGGGTAGCTGGGGTGACTGCGGGTGGTCTTCTCCTAGGAAGCAGATGAAAACTAGGTTAGAAGCAGAAATAAGTCCAGCTTCAGACAAGGTGGGTTTAGGTGCCTGTAGAACATTCAAGAAGAGGAGAGCACAAGATAGCTGGGAGCAGTGGCTCACGCCTGTAATCCTAGCACACTGAGAGGCCAAGGCGGGCAGATTGCTCAAGGTCAGGAGTTCGAAACCAGCCTGAACAAGAGCGAGACCCTGTCTCTACTAAAAATAGAAAGAAGTTAATTGACCAACTAAAAATATAAAGAAAAAATGAGCCGGGTATGGTGGCCCATGCCTGGAGTCCCAGCTACTTGGGAGGCTGAGGCAGGAGGATTGCTGAAGCCCAGCAGTTTGGGGTCACTGTGAGCTAAGCTGACACCACAGCACTCACTCTAGCCTGGGTAACAAAGTGAGACTCTCTGAAAAAAAAAAAAAAAAGACAGCTGGGAGCGTGATCCGGAGCTCTGCAGAGACATCTGGGTGGAGTCTGATATTCTAAATCAAGAACAGATTATTTACTCCAGTTTACAGACAAAGCTCAGAGAGTGCAAGCTACTTGTCCACAGTCACACAGCTATGGAGCAAGGACATGAACTTAGATATATGGATTTCAAGTTTTGTGGTGCCCGTGACCTCCAAGTTCAGTGCTCATCCGTCTGTCCCAGGATGCATTAGCTTCTGCGGGGGTAGGGGTTAGGGGGTTGGGGAGGATGAAGCAGGTGTCTGAATATGTTTTTGTTTCCTCCCCATGTGTCTTCTGCCTGAAATTGCATTTGCCCAGATCTTGCAGGCAGGGGCAATTTTAGCTGGCTTGGAGATACTGGGAGATGGAGGGAGATTCTTGTTTCTTGATAACCAGAAGCCCTTAACTAACTTTGGCTGCACATTAGCAAGTTGGTGGTGGTAAATGTGAAGATTTTAAGAACCACGAAGCCAGCTGAGATCAGGCCCAGAGAGGCTGACCCTGCTACCACAGCCACCTCAGGGACTCAGGAAGTGAGGCGCTGGGGACCCCTTCTACCTGATACCCTTTATCTCCTTCCCTGACTAGCTGCCTCCATCTTTGCAGTGTGTTCTGTCCCCAAGTGAGCTGAGGCCTTAGGTCCTAGGATTCCCCTGTTCTAAAATAAAGTGAGCTGAGCTGGGACCACCAAGGGCCAGGTGTCCCAGTCCTGTATCCTAGAGAAAAGTCTTAGCTCCCATAATCACTTCCTTCGACAGCGTGCCTTGTCTCCCTTCTGAATCATTCCTTCCCAGCTGCTGTCTCTCGGAGGGTGTGTGTGTGTGTGTGTGTGTGTGTGTGCATGTTTGTGTGTTTGTCTCCCCTCTAGACCATAAGGTCCATAAACACCCGACCTGGGTCTGTTTTGTCTCCTTGGAATGTTTCCCGGCTCATATTTCAAATGAATAAATAAATAAATGCCCCCTGACATCCAGGCTCTGGGCCTCGCAGTGGAGAAGGCTCTTCTTGTGTGTTTACAGCATGTGCTCCCAGCTTGCAGAGTGTCACTTTCGATTCTGCAATTGGTGGGGGGTAGGGGGGCAGGATGCCCTAAGAGGTTCCTTCCCCTATGCCAGGAAACAGATGGTAAAATGCTTAAGACAACGCTGCTCCCCCCACCCTTCCTGCCACGTGCTCTCTGTGCCCCATCCCCAAGCCCCAGCCCCAGTGGGCTCTGGCAGTCAATTCTCTATGCTTCTAACTCTGGGCACCAAGCTGGGTGGCATGAACGTCTGATCATAGTGAGCTGTTTTTTTTTTTTTTTTTTTTTTTGAGACAGAGTCTTGCTTTGTTGCCCGGGCTAGAGTGAGTGCCGTGGCGTCAGCCTAGCTCACAGCAACCTCAAACTCCTGGGCTCAAGCGATCCTCCTGCCTCAGCCTCCTGAGTACCTGGGACTACAGGCATGTGCCACCATGCCCGGCTAATTTTTTCTATATATATCAGTTGGCCAATTAATTTCTTTCTATTTATAGTAGAGACGGAGTCTCGCTCTTGCTCAGGCTGGTTTGGAACTCCTGACCTCGAGCAATCCGCCCATCTCGGCCTTCCAGAGTGCTAGGATTACAGGCGTGGGAAGCTCTTGAATGTCAGATTACGAGACTGATTTGAATCCAGTGGGCAGTAGGGAACCACTGAAGGTTTATGAGCTGGGGAGTAATGGAGCCTGAGCTGTGCGTGGGAAGGTAAATAGGGCCATGAGGATGATGCCCTGGGAAAGGGAGGGGCAGGGGCAGGGAGACCAGTTAAAGGGCCAGTACCTGGAGTAGAGGGCGCAGTAACCGGGCTGTAGGAGGGCAGTGCCTGCGGTGGGAAGAGGTGGCTCCCGCTATGTGGACTGGAGGCTCCTTCTAGCGACCTCCTCGGCCTGAGGTTGATTGGCCTTTCCCACTTCTCTTTTTGTTTTCTGGTTTTTCCCAGTTTAAGCATAGAAGGAAATTCACAAACAACAACAAGAAACTCCCCCTTGCTGTCCTTTCTCCAGCCTGGCCTCCTGGTTTTCCCACAGCCCATGTTCTCTGCTGGGTCTTAGTATCTGGGATCCCTCTGTAGGGTCTCTGGCTGGGGCGGGGGTGGGGGGTCTCTCTTCTTGCTCCACCCTTGTCCTCAGATGCAGTAGGTTTGTCAGTGACTGATAGAAGGAGCATTAATTTATCCCTAGACGTTGCCTAGCACCAAGGGACCTGCAAAAGCAGGGGAGACCCTGCCCTCCCCAGGGGAAATCACTTCGGCTGGGCCCACAAGGCCCGTACCAGTGAGACAACTGGAGATCTGTTGAAGGTTGAAATATTCTCCCAGCTCAGAGAGGACCCGTGTGTCCTGTCTGTCCCACACAGCTGGTAGGTGCTGGAAGGGGGTCGCCTGGTGTTTTGCTTCAGCCTAGAGCCCTGGACATGGCAGTCAGAGAGGGAGCTGGGATCTGCTTTGGGACACTGTTTAGTTTTCCTTGATTTGCAGTTGGGGTGCAGTCTACCCTGAGAACTCTAGAGTTTTCACAGGGCCAGGGAAGGGTGTGAAGTCTGGGACCCCATTTTCCTTGCACCTCCAGGCTCCCGGGCAGCCAGGCAGCTCGTCGTCACGGTGATGCCCATAGCGCTCGCGAAGGGCCAGCGGCCCAGGGGATTCCCAGGTCCCGCTGGAGACGCCTGGGGCTTCCCCGACCTTGTAGACGAAGCCTGCCCGGCCTCCCTGGGGGCGGGGCTCCGAGCACGGGGCCGACTCTAACCCTAACTCTGGCTCCGGAGGCCCCTGAGTTGAGTCCTGCACCTGCCGTGCCAGGGACGTGCCATGGGACAGCTGATTGCCAAGTTGATGGGCATCTTTGGGAACCAGGGTAAGGAGCATACAGGGCATCCAGGCGACTGCTTTGATCCTACTCTTTCCTGGGGATCCCCTGATTTGGGGTCAGATGCGCTGAGGGACCTGGGACTCCGGGAGTCCTGCGTGGGAGCTCCTCTTCTGCTCCGCGGTCTCCGCCACCCCAGCCTCCCGCCCGCTCCTCCTGGGGCCGCGCGCTTCGGGCGAGCCTCCCTCCTCTCCGCTAAACCGCGCTGGCGGCGGCGGTGCGGGGCCACCGCCCGTCTCCTGCGATTCTGACTTCGCTCTCGGCTCTTTCCCCAGACGCCTTCTCTTGGCAAGCCCAAAGCGCTCCGGACCTTTCAGACAACCAATTTTCTAGAAATGTGAAGGGAGGTGGGATCAGGTAGGGGCTTAGCTCTCTTTCCCATTGTCCGAGAGTGGCGCAGGTGTCCGGGCCGGGTGGGAAGCAGAAGTGGTGCCGCCAGACGTCCCCGGCACTTGTCTCCCTCCTGGGAGGCCTGCTGGGGTGCACAATCCCTTGGTCACTGGTCAAGGTTGGCCCTGACTCTGCTTTTGTCCCGATGCCTCCAGAGCACAAAGTTATCATCGTGGGACTGGACAATGCAGGAAAGACCACCATTCTCTACCAGCTGTAAGTGACTCTCAGTGGGGACAGGAGAGGGCTGGGCCTCCCATCAGACTGACAGGCGTTTGGGCCAATCATGGGAGCTCCTCCCTGGCTTCCCAAGCTCCCCTGTAGCCGGGAGGAGTGAGGGGGGACGCTGGTGTGACCTTCCAGGAGTAGTGGGCCCTCGGCCTGGCATTTGAATCCCGCACGGTAAGGACAACCCCATCTCCCTCTGCCTCTTGCCGTCTACCCTGTGCCCCTGCCAAACGGGTTACAGGCTGGCAGGTGCCTCTGGTTTCTAGCTTCCCTGCTTCGTGCTCCCCCTAGCGCAGGTCCCTCTGTTATCACCCCTGCGACCTCTGGCTGTTAACTTTCTTCCCCTTCTTCAACCGGAAAGGCCCACTGAGCTCCTGGTAGCCCCTGGTCTAGCGGAGCTGGGTACTTTCCCCATATCCATTCTCTGGATGACATCTCTCTCGTTTTGGAGCCTCCAAGATACTTTGCTTAGGACAAGGTTTTCCCTGAAAAAGTAATATGTGTAAATGGTTTTTAAAAACTAAAAAAGAAAAATTCCAACAATAGAAGAATATACAGTGAAAAGTAAGTTTCCCTCTCACCCCTAACTTCCAGTTCTTCCCCTGTTGTAACTTCTTGGTAACCTTTCAGAACATTATTTCTGTATAGAAACGTGTGTGTTTTCTCTGCCACTTTACAAAAAGCACCTCTCTGATGTCCCTCACTGTGTCTGTCTCATCTTTCTAACCCTTTGCTACTCAAAGAGCGGTCCATGGACCAGCAGCCTGAACATCATCTGGGAAGAGCTTGCTAGAAATGCAGAGCCCTAGGCCCCGGCCCAGATGCATTGGGGCAGACTCCCACATGATTCGATTCTACTTTAACGTTTGAGGAGACTGGGCTAAGAAGTCTCCCCTCTCTGGGGTGCAAGCCAGGGCAGGGCTTGGTCTCACCTCTGCCTCCATTCCCCCTGTGCCCGCACACCGCCTGGCCCCCAGCAGATGCTCGGGCAGCCTGGGCTGAGATTCAGCCTGCTTTGGGAGTAGAGGAGAGGGAGGCCAGAGTTGGGAGTGGGCTGGGCTGAGCTCTTGGTGCCTTCTCCTACCTCCCCAGCCTGACGAAGGAGGTGGTCCATACATGTCCCACCCTGGGTAGCAACGTGGAGGAGGTCGTTCTTCAGAAGACCCACTTCCTCATGTGGGACATAGGCGGGCAGGAGGCTCTGCGCTCCACCTGGAACATGTATTACTCCAACACCGAGGTGAGGAGGGCACCAGAGCCAGAGGGTCCCCCAGGCAGCTGTGTGATATTAGCCAGTCACTTAACCTCTCTGAGCCTCAGTTTCCCCACCTATGAAATGGAGCTCATAATAATGATCTCCTTGAGTTGTTGTGAAAATTAAATAATAATAAAACAATAGCTAATGCATATGTGTCAAATACTTAACACAGTGCAGTGCCTGTTAAAATTTTTGAGTACTTCCTGACAGCCTGGTCTGTTTGCTGGCAGCTTTCTGTTTGATGCACTGGATGGGGTAGGCTTTTGTCTCTGGGGGCCTTACTTTCTTACTCCAGCAGGAGTAGAATTCAGTGGCCTAATTCCTGGAGTGAGACAGAGCTGGGTTAGATTTCCAGCCAGCACTGCCACTTGCCTGCCGTGTAGCCAAAAGCAAGATAGGTAACCTCACTGAGCCTCAGTCTCCTCATTTGTAAAATGGGCACAATGATGGCACCAATTCCACAGGGCTGTGGTGAGGCCTAACGGCACACACACAGCCTCCGGCACACACACAGGGGCGCTGTGTACTTCCCGTGTCAGGATAGGAAAGGCAATTAAAATGGGACTAGGGTGGTGCGATCTTGACACTGCACAGTCTCTTTCCTTTGGGGCTGGCATCCTGCCAGTGCAGAGGCCCATGGGGGAGCACAGTGGGCAGGAAACACGTTCACCAAAGAGAAAGCCACCACTCACGGCTCCTCTCTGCTGCCAGTTCATCATCCTTGTGATTGACAGCACGGACCGGGACCGGCTGCTGACCACTCGAGAGGAGCTGTACAAGATGCTGGCCCATGAGGTAAGCCCCTGCCGCTGGGACAGGGCCCAGAGGTACTAACTGTGTGCCCACAGGCTAATCACTGAGCCTCTCTGGGCTTCATTCCTGATGCCGCGATCTCTGAGAGCCTCTATCCCAGCAGCATGGGGAGAGCTAGTTTATCCCCGATGAAGGGTGTCAATGTCCTCAGCAGAACTGATCACAGAAGCCAGAGTCACTGGTTCAAGTCCTGACCCCATCTCCCATTCATTGTGAGACCCTGGAGTCACTTTACCTCTCTAATCTTCAGTTTCCCCAGGCATAAAATGGGGATATTCATCAATTCCTACCTCATGGGACTGTTGCAAGGATGAATCAGCTGGTTGGGAGGCATCCCATGAGCTGCTGGTGCCATTTCATGGGGTTGCTACCACTGGGCAGGCCCCCATCTCTGCCCTGCCTGGGCATGGGCTTCTCTTGCTGGGCCAGCTGGGGAGGGAGCCAGAGACGACTCATGGGCAGTGGCAAGGAGGCAGGGCCTGGCGGGCTGACTAGAGCTGGGTTCCTCTGCCCACAGGCTCTGCGAGATGCTTCAGTGCTGATCTTTGCCAACAAGCAGGACGTGAAGGACTCCATGAGCACCATGGAGATCTCCCAATTCCTTACTCTCAGTGCCATCAAAGACCACCCGTGGCATATACAAGGCTGCTGTGCCCTCACCGGGGAAGGGTAAGTGGCTGCCCCACCTGGACCTCCAGGGCTTGGCCCAACCAATGAACGACTGGCCATCAGCACCCTTCTGCCTCGCTCCCGTCAGAATCTGGCTCGCAGCTGGCTCCTAGGCCAAGTCAGCCGAGCACCTTCCCACAGTTGAGATGCCTCGGGTAAGCGGTGAGTGAGACAGTGTCCCTGCTCTCAAGGGGCTCGTGTTATTGGTAAAAGAGTGCCTCCACCTAGATGCAATAATTTTAGGTACTGAGAAGTGGTATGAAGAAAGCGAAATTGGATTACAGTGATAGAGGGGGCAAGGCTAATAGAGACAGCCTCTCCCAGGAGGTGACTTTTGAGCTGAGACCTGCATGAAGAGGAGACAGCCATGGGAAGACCCAGGGGACAAGCTGTCCAGGCAGAAATCACTGACTCTCTCTGACTTTGAGTTTCTTTATCTGTAAAGAGGAGGGTAATTATACCTTCTCCCTCCCAGGATTTCTGTAAAGAGTAAATAACACCATTCATGAATTTTTTTCGTTTTCAAGACAGAGTCTTACTCTGTCACCCAGCTAGAGTGCAGTGGGGCCATCATGGCTCACTGCAACCTCAGCCTCCGGGGCTCAAAGTCCCAGCCTCCTGAGTAGCTGGGACTACAGGTGTGCATCACCACACCGGCCAATTTTCCTCACTCTTGCTCAGGCTAGTCTCAAACTTCTGATCTCAAGTGATCCTCCTGCATTGGCCTCCCAGAGTGCTAGGATTACAGGTGTGAGCCACAGCACCTGGCCAATCCACAAATTTTTAGTGAGCACCTACTTTGTGCCAGGTACTATTCTAGGGATTGGAAACACAGCAGTGAACAAAACAGACAAAATCCCTGCCCTCATGGAGCTCAGTTTCCAGTGGAGGAGTCACATAATAAACAAGAAATATATATGTAAGTTATATTTTTCATCAGTAACTTCAGGCACTAGCACAGTACCTGATGCATAGCAGGCATTCATGTCAGTTTGTCTTTGTTGACTGAATGATTGGATGTAACTTTGGTAGCCACCTCCATCTGCTCTGGGCAGGGGCTGGGGGCTTGAAGACCGTCATCGTTTTGGAATGTATTGATTTTTCCTGTTCTTCCCTCCTTGCAGGCTGCCTGCCGGGCTCCAGTGGATGCAATCTCGGGCCACTGCTAACTGATGTCCCAGCCTGAGGCCAACCAGAAACTTTGAGGGTTTTGCATGGTCAACGTGGGTGGGAAACATAAGTAGCTATTTATTACTTTTCTATGATTCCCTGGTGGGGGCAGGGACAGCTATGGACAGCGATATAGCCGCTGCCTGCCCAACCCCTCCATGAGGAGCAAGACTGCATACCTTGAATTGTTGCAGACAGGACAGCAGAAAAAGCTGTCCCCAACTCCATGGCTGCTGCAGGTGTCCTTCTTGAAGACAGCAGGGAAGCTGTTGGATGTATTGGAGCCCTCTTCCTCTGCTCAGGGCCCAGCCTCTCTGTAGGAAAAATGTGCGGGCGCAGTAAGAGACCCTGGAACTGCTCTTTATCTCCTCACCGCCCCACCCCAGCTTTCTAGCCCCTCAGCCATTTTTTGTCCCATACCTTTTGAGCAAAGGCAATTCCAGAAGAGCGAAGGGGGTAGGCTCAGGGGGAAGAAGGCAGAGTGAAACCCTGGAAGAGGAGAGGGAGGAGGAGGACACGCTGTCCCAGACAGGGACTGCTATTGCGCTGCAGGGATTCCACGCCTTCCCAGCCTTCCCATGCCCTCTGAGATGCCGACTCTGACCACAGCTTTTGGACTTTAACCCACTCCATGGTACCCGTTCAGTGTCCCGACAATGTGAATCCCCTTTCTCTCGAATATCCCAGAATCTTATAGGGTCTGAGTATTTTGTTTGTTTTTGTGTAATGATTTTTTAAAAATATTGTATTAGAATTTTTATAAAGGTGTAATAAATGCAATTGAAAACTGTTCACCTCTAATTTTTTGCCTGCCCCTTCTGCCTGTTCCTAGAGCTGGCTTTCAGTTTTTTTGCAAAGAAATGGGGTGGGAGGGTGTCTCCAGGGCCCATCTGGCCAGGGGACTGGCTTCTTGGCTCTGGGCTCTACCACTGTCTCTCAAGTTGGAGGGGACTGGCACCTGGCCAGCCAGGACTGGAAGCTCTTGGCTCTGCCTGGGCCTAGCGAAGGGAGAGATTTGATACTGACTCATGGAGAAGCAGAGGAGGGACCCTGGGTGTTGGAAAAGCCTAGGAGTCCTATCTAGGTAGAGCTGGAGACAGGGTGGAGACTCAGGCTGTCCATCAATGTACAGGGAGCAGTGCTGTTATCCTGAAAATCCTGGGATGGTCCTGGGGACAGTGGGTCTCTTCCTTTCCCAAGCCAGGCAACACATCTGGGGGAAAGTCTGGGCACAGGATTCTTTAATCTTGTAGTTTTCCTGAAGCGGGATTGTGGAGGAAGAACTTAGGAATTTCAGCCATCTCCATCGTCTTTTGTGTTCTTTCCATTAGGTTGTCTTGACATGGCCTGCAGAACAAGAAGATAAAAAAAATAGTACCATGCTCTCATTTCCCATAAATTTATTCTAATGAGAAAGCTGAAACGCGAAGGGGGTATAGCTCAGTGGTAGAGCATTTGACTGCAGATCAAGAGGTCCCCGGTTCAAATCCGGGTGCCCCCTCTCCACCTGTCGCTTTTTCGTGTTTTGGCAATCCCCAAGTCCACCTCTTAAGAGTTCTCCTGCAAACTGGAGGAGATGGATCTTCGGGTCGGCCACCCTCTCTCTTTTGCAGGCGGGTGGAGATGGAGTCCTGGGCCCTGCCAGTGGCTTATCCTGTATGTATGATGAAATGCAGTGAGAGCGAGGAGCTCCGGGTTGGCCCTTGAAGGACGGTACAAAGGGCCCTCCCTTGTAACAGAAGGGCGGAGACAGGCGCACCCCCAGGTCGGCTGGCCAGTGACCCCGACGGCCCTTCCATGGCGTGGCGAAGCTGAGTTTCTAAGGACGCCGGGGAAGAAAGGCCTGGAGAAGCCTCGTGAGCATCTGAGAGAAAGAGGCTCCGAGAAGCAGGAAGAGGCCTCCAGCAGGGCAGGAGACTGGGATCCCAGCCCCCACGAAGGCCCCCAATAGAGGGATCTCGAAGGCTCTCGAAACGTTCCCTTCCACGCCCCCAGATTACATTTTACTTGCACCATAAGTAGGAATCTTTAGCTCAGAGCTTCAGAAAGCAACTCCTGCTTCCAAGTCAGTAAATCTTCTGAGATTGATATGATCCCTATCTTTTGTAGATGTCTAAACTCACTTTTCAACAGGTCGCCACCGCGCCTGCGCAGCGGTGGCCCTAAGAGGCTATCTTCGCGCGGTGGCCAGCAGAGGGGGTATAGCTCAGTGGTAGAGCATTTGACTGCAGATCAAGAGGTCCCCGGTTCAAATCCGGGTGCCCCCTGCCGCGCTTTTTTTTCATTGAGCCCTTAAATTTAAAGCCCTTTGTAAAATGTTACTATTCACTTTAAAGCTAAGCCGCTTTTTTCCCCTCCCACTTTTACGTTAACACTTCTTTCGCCATCTTTCTTCGAAGAGACGAAGAGCAGTGAGGGAGTAAGGAACTGGGGAATTCTAGACCTGTGGCTCTCAATGTGTGGTCCCAGGACCAGCAGCATCTTCTGGGTACATGTTAGAAACGCAGTTCCTCGAAGCACATCTCAGACCCCGTGCGTTGGAAATTCGGAGGTGGAATCCAGAAATCTGTTTCAATAAACCTCGCTGATGGTTCTAATGCACGCTCAAGTTCTAGAGGCTTACGTGTTAAAAAAACTTACACGACATTTGCTTCTACTATTTCCAAATTTTTGTTTCGGCCTGAGCCCTTGTAGGAGACTTTCTAAGACAGACCACGGGGTACCCCAGATGGGGAAATGTACTAAGACACCCGGGCCGGAGCTGGAATTCCGGAAGGCAGAAGGTCGGGGACAGCCTGGGCAGACCAGGAAAAGTGAGGGGAGCCGCAGAACTCCGGCGCTGCGGCTCGTCACGTGGCCACTTGAGGGCAGCAAGAAGCCGCAGCTGGAAGCCGCAGCCTACCGATCCTGTCGGAGTTAGCCAAGCTGGGATTTAAAGCAGACATCAAGAAGAACTTACAGACAGGCCTTGCTTTGTCCCATAGTAAGAGGATAGAGGGTTTAGGGTTGGAGGAGGTCGACTCTGGGACCCTGGGTTCTGAGGAAGGAAGAGCTGGCATTCGCAGAGATTAGAGCCTTTAGTTGCTTCCTTTCTTAGGGCTTCTTTTTGACCTCAGAGCCAGGGACCCCATCTTCCAGCCCACACCGTACCTTCTCCTGTCCCCACCCATACGCCTCCTTGGAATCCCCCCAAGGGTCCTCAGGGCCCACACTCTTCCTCTCGGCGATCTCCGGCGCTTAGGCCCCAGCCCCTAGGAGCCAGGGCGCCCCTCGCCCGTCGCCCACCCGCCAGCGCCCGGCTCCTCGCCGGCACTTCAAGTAGGTCAGGGAAGGGAAGAGGCACCTCGGTGTCCTGACCTGATTCCCTGCCGTCTATTAAATCTCCTAAATTGTGGATATTTTTATTCTGTCCTGGAAGAAGAATAGACAACTGTCCCCAGAGCCTGCCGCAAGGCGTGGCAGGTGAGGCGAGCGTCCCCCGCTCTGGAGTGGGCTTTGAAGATCGGCGGGGCCCTGCCCTGCGCAGGCCTGCCCCGGGGAGGAGGGCGGCCTCGCCTGCGTTCTTGTGGGGAGGGTCCAGGCACTGCCGAGCAGGGCGACCGGGCCCCTGACTCCCACGTCTGCGGTGCCGGCCGCGGGGTGCAGGGTCGAGAGGGGAGCCGCCGCGGGAGGGGTGGGATTCTCGCCTCGGTTGGGGCGAGAAGCTGGGGGTCTCTGCCGCAAGTGTACGTTCCTGGGGCTGGGGTGGGGGGCGACGCAAGCGACGCGCACAGAACTCAGAGGAAACGCTCAGAAAGCCGCGGAGCCCGGAGGAGGAGTGGGGCCGGGGAGGGAATGGCCCGCGTCCGCGGCCCGGTGGGGGGCGCCTGTCCCTCCCCGGTCCGGAGGAGGGGCCGCGGGTGGCTGACGCGCTCCGGACGCTCTCCCCGCCCCGGGTCCCGCGCCCCGTCCCCTCCTCCGCTCTCCCGCCTGGGGAGCGCCCCCGAGAGCCGCGGGGAGGCTGGGCCCCGGCGCGCGCCCCGCCCGCCCCCGCGCCCCGTCGGTCCCGGAGGCGCACGCCGCCCGCCCGCGCTCCCGGCCGCTCCGCCCGCCGCCGCCCGCCGCGCTCCGCCGCCTGCTCGCCGCCCGCCCCTCGGGGACCGGGACCGGGACCGCGCCGCGGGAGCCGCGCCCCTCCCTCGCCAGGCCGGGCAGCGAGCGGCCGGGGACGGGTCCTGGCACCCACCATGCGGCCCGGGCTCTGGCTCCTGGTGCTGGTGCTCAGGGAGGCTGCCCGCGCGCGGAGCCCCCAGCCCGCAGCAGGTAGGACTGGCCCGAGTTGGCCTGGGGCGCCGGGCGCGGGGAGGGCAGGTACGGACAGGCGGGTGTCGGCCGCGGGAGGCCAGGAGCTCTGTGGGCTGTGGGCAGGCGGGTGGGGACCCCACTCTCCCAAACGCGTAGGGTTAGAGGGAGGGTGGTGGCATTAGACACCGATGTACGCGCCTCTCCTTCCCTCCTGGAAGGACAGTGGAGGAACCCCGGGAGAGGGGGCTCTGTGAGGCAGGGGGCTCTGGCCCCAAAGGGGACAGTGGGAGAGTCATAGGGACCCCTGGTCACCCCAGGCAAGACTGGATTCTGATGAGATGGGGAGCTCGGGGAGACTGCTGCCCCAGCTATACCTTCTTTTCCCCTGCACCCCGCCCCCCCGCAGGGGGCGAATTTGGGGGCTGGGTGGGAGCAGCCAGGGGGCATCTCTCCCAGGCAAGGGCAGTGGCCATCTAACTCGCCTTCCCCCACCTATTTGGCACCAGTAGAGAGGCAATGGGCCCAGGAAGAGGCACTTTGCTCTTCCCCTATATCCCAGCCTCAAGCGTCTCCCTGTCACTCCTGTTCTGTCCTGTTGGCCTTTGGCCTTCAGCCGCTCTGGCTCTAGATGGGTGGCAAGGTCCCATCCTGCACATTTGTCTTCCCCCTATGCCAGTTCTCCAAAACCATCTCTTCCACTTGGAAGTCCTTTCTGAGATCTACCTGGAATCCCTGATGTTATAAAAGGAGGACTATTCTTGACACATAATCTAAGTTCTCCTCTCTCCTTATGCATCCAGACTTTCTCCGGGGTTGGGAGACGGGTCATTTGCAGCCAAGCCCCTTGACAGAGAGAATTAGGAAGACGGCGACCTACGCCTCACTGGCACAGGTGCCCCTCACATGGGATGGAGGGTCGTAGAGGAGGATGCTGTCCTTGAGTGCTGGGTCTCAGGGGTGTGCTGGACGTCAGGCACAGCATCAGTGACAGTTCTTGCCTGTCACGGTCACTGCACGCAGCTGGGGCAGACCTGCTGAGAAGAAGGCTGGGGGGGGGTGGGAGTTGAAGGGTGCTGATGGCGGAGGTGTGGGCAGAGAGCAGCGGGCGCTGATGTGTCAAGAGGCAACTGGTGCAGAGCCACCAGTTTCCAGGGAGACCACACAGAGATGGTCAGAGACTTGGCTTCTAGTCCCGACATCTCACTTGCTGTGTGACTTTGAGCAAGTTACTTTCCCTCTCTGGGCCTGTTTCTGCACTTGTAAAGTGAGACTGTTGGCAAAATCTTTGACTCTTGGTTGTGGGATTATGAGGGATGTTTTCTTTTTTTCTTTTTTATGATTATCTTTCCTTTCCAGATTTATTATATGTATGGGTAACTGATAATTTTTAAAAATCAATGTAAACAGGAAGCCAGTGGACAGGTTAATTTCTGAGGTCCTTTTCGGCCCCCACCTGATGTGATCTTCTGAACTTGGGGTATAACTGGGTTGATGAGGGAGGGATCTGAACCTCTGACTGGGTTGGAGAACCATGGAGAGGGTCAGGGAAGGGGAACTGGGGGGTAACAAGGATGGGTTGGAGGACGGTGGCCAGACCCTGGCTTGGCTGAGGGCTGCCTCTTCAGAGTTGGGTTGGGTTAGTAGATGGTTGGGGAGGCCAGGAATAGGGGGCAGCCAGAGTCTTGAATCACTTCTCTAAGTAGAGGGCACCCTGTCTCCTTGCTTTGCCAGAGATTCAGCCAGGAGAAATGGACTTTCTCTGCAGCAGGAGAGATTGAGGTTAGATTTAAAGAAGCCGTGAGAAGCCAGAGGGGGCAGCTGTTGACTCCTAATCTAGTGCTCTTTTCACAGGCCAGGCCAGATTGGAGGGAGAGTCTGTGTGCAGGCAGGGGGTGTCTCTTTGGGGGAACAGTTGTAGGAGTGGGACATTCTGGGGGAGGGTTGGTAAGGGGGGACAACCTGGCTTTGATTGATGGTGGAGCCCTTGTGACCAGCGAGAAGGCGGCCAGGAGCGGGACCTGAAGGGGTGCTGGCATCCAGCCCAAGGCTCTGGGGTTGTCCGGGCTGGCGGGAGGGGGGCGCCCAGGAAGAAGCTGAGCTCTCTCCTCCCTCGTGATGGATGGGCTAGTTTGGTGGAGCCTCGAAACCTCATCCATCATTAGAACGGGAGCAGCAGGGGGATGAGTGCCTGGAAAATGGAGTCAGGCGGCAGGGAGGCCAGGCTGACAGACAGGAAGATGGCCTTGGGGTGCTCAGTGGGGACATTGAGGTCTGGCCAAGTAGAACCAGAGGTGCCTACAATTGACAAAAGGAGGAGGCAGCTGGAGGTGACGTCCTGTCCTGCGGGAGGCCAGGTCCTGTACCAACCCTCATGACCCCGACAACTTGCTCCTTTCTCTGAGCCTTGGTTTTCCCTTCTATAAAATGGGGGGGTTGGACCAGATTGTCTCTAGGGCCCCTTCTAGCCATGATTCCGCTTCTAGCTTCCTTCTCGAACACCAGGGACTTCCAACAAACTGAAGCTAAAATTCAAACTTGTGCTGTGGCCATCAGACAGCCCCTCCCGCCACCCTGCACGTCTTCTCTCACTGTCCCCAGGCCCACCCCTTAACACACTCCAGGCTGCCGGGCCCTCGGAGCGACAGGTAACTGACTTCTCATCCAGGTCTCAGTGGGCTCAAGGGTCACCTACTCAGAGAGGCCCACCCTGATGGCTCTGTCCAGAGTAGCAACGACCCCGCCCTGTCGTCTGTCCGATTTTCTTCATTGCACTTGCCACTACGTCACATTGCGTTACCTGCCGCATTCTTCATTCTGTGTGTGTCTCTGCGAAGACCAGAATCTTCCTGGGCACAGAGATTGTGTCAGCCTGTTTGACACCCCCCTCCCCCGCACCCAGCACAGTGCCTGGCACACAGTAGGGTGTCAGTAAATATGTAATGACGAGCAAGTGAGCAAGTGAATCAGCGATGGCCACAGACCCAGAGTCACTGAGCTCTTCTTACCCCTCCTTCTCCTCTGCCTTCCTCTCCCCTCTTCCCTTCCCACTTCTGCTACCTAGTGGTCCTCTCTGTCACTTCCTTGTGCCTCCTTCCCCCTCCCCAGGTGAGGGTCCCTGCCTGCCAGAGGGAGGGGGAGAGGGCACAGTTGGGGGCTTTGTAACTAGGAGGCAGGATTTCAGCTCAGGGTCTGGAAACTTCTCCAGGCACCCTGGAGAGTCAGTCCTCCCGTGAGATCCAGGGAGGGCAGGAGGACTTTTCTGGGTGCTTCATGTACATTATTTTGTTAAAGACTCAAAACCATCTACCATCCCCATTTTACAGATGAGGAAACTGAACTTAGAGAGATTATGGAATTTGTCCAGTGTCACAGACAGTAAGTGGTAGATTCAAGGTTCAAACCTCGAGCTTGTCTGACTGCAAACCTGTGCTCTTTTATTGCTGTGATATTACAATAAATGTTTCCAGTCCTGTGTAACTCAGGTCTTCAGGACATTTATTTAAAGATGCTTGCCCCCCACTCCCACCCCCTGCCTTCCATCATCCACGTGTGTTTACTGAGTGCTTGTTCTGTCGGGTGGCAGCCTGCTGGGATCTGAGCTGGGACGGTGTGTCTAGCCTTTGGGGTGAGAGGGAGAGGTGTCAGAGGGGCTCTCAGAAGAAGTGGCATTTGTGAGATTTGAAGGTTGAGGAAGAACTCATCAGGAGAACGGTTTATTTATGGAGCAGAATGGTCCTGGCTGAGAAATCTGCCGTGTATGAAGCCACATGGCTAGAGACAGCAGGGCTGGGTCTGGAGAGGACTATAAGGACACTGGAGGCTGGAGGAGTGAGCAAGGACCAGCCTTGAAGGGCCTCAAATCAGCTGGAGGGAAGCGGTGAGCAGAAAGCACGAGAGAGAATCAAGTTTGTCCTCCAGATGGCTTGTTCTAGCTAGAGTGTGGGTGACTAGCTGTAGGGCATTAAAGGGAGAGGCTGCAGTAACTGCAAGAGAGAGGCTGTGGTGGCCTGGACTGTGTGCTGGCCATGGGGCTGGAATGGCAAGCGTGGGTGTTGGGATAGGGTGGTTCGGTCCAGGCTCTGGAGTGGCACAGCCTGGCCTCCTGAGCCTGGAGCAGGGCAGTGCCAGGTAAGGGGACACAGTCTCCCAGGGCAGCTCCCAGGTTTAGGCCCAATTGTGTCTAGAGCAGGGTCCTTCAGGAACTCAGCTGACAAGCCAGTCCTGCCCTGGGGCTGCCCCCGAACCTTGGGAAACAGCTGGCAGTTGTTGGTCCCTTCTGTGGTTCTTAGCACTCTCTGGAGCCAGCTGCCCTGAGTTCAAATCCTGCCCCGGACTAGTTCTGTGAGCTTGGGATGTTCCTTAATGTCTTTGTGCCTCATTTTCCTCATTTGTAAAATAGATCTAAAGCTAGTACCTATCTTACAGAGTTATTGTGGGAATTAAATGAGTTGATGCGTTTAAAGCTCTCGGATAGTGCCAGCACAGAGTCACATCCTTGAAAGTTAGCTGTCATTTTTATTACTACTACTATTACTATGACACAAGGGCCATGAATGAACAAATACATGAATGAACAGCTTGTGTTCTGGAAGCTTTTTTTTTTTTTAAGATAGTAATTCCCAGCTTTTTCAAATATGAAGCATTTTTCAACCAACCCATTTTTTAATTCTTAAATTCTTGACATTACAGAACTAAACTGAAATTTTTTAACATTCCACTCTTACATTTCTTATCGACAAACAGAAATAAAATTCATGAGCCAAAAAACCCAAAAGAAACTAAAAACAGGGAAAAGCTTATAAAACTAAATATGGATCCCAGCATTAACAGCTGAACAGAGAATGTGATTTTTAAATTCTTAGCAGATGATAAAGTTGTGTAGAAACTGAACACTTACAAATTATTTAAAACCTGGAATCACTGACCAGAAATTACACAGTTGGATCATGGGAAAACAGCAGAAAGGGGTTATGGGGGAACCTACACTGTTCTAGCTGCACCCCATGCCCTTCTCAGAGGAGAGCCTGGCATTGATCAGATACTGGGCCAGACTCATACTGGCAGCAGAGCCAGTGATAGTGACCTGCCTACCAGGAGAGCCTTCCACTGGGTTGGCAATTTTGATCTGGGCCCCGGACATCTGGCGGATCTCATTAATGTTGGCGCCTTGGCGCCCGATTATGCAGCCGATTAAGTTATTTGGAATGGTGAGTTCATGGGTGGTTTGAGTAGATGCATCCGAACTTGCCCAATAGCCTTTCACCTCTGGAGAGCTGGAGTCAATTCCGGCGAATCCGGGCCCGCCGTGCATCATGGCAAAGTGAGATTGTTGTCTTGCCACCCGGTTCAGCTTGGCCAGATCGGGCGGAGAAATGGTGTGTTGTCCTTGAATCGAGTAGGCATCTAGAGGTGGTCCCTCCAGGTCATGGGTGGCGTGAGGGTAGCCCGCAGCGTCGCTGCACCGATCTTGGCCGCCCGCTCAGATGACTGGAGAGCTGGCCGGCATGGGCTGGTACGGAATGGTCATGACTCTCCCTTGCGGAGACTGGGAGAGCGTCTCCAGCATGACCAGGCAGATCTGCGTGACACACTCGGTGACAGACTGCGGCACGCCAGCGATGGTGATGGCCCGCTCAGTGGAGTTGGACAGCATATCCCCCGCCACCTGGAGCTGGGCCCCCGTACTTGGAAGCTTTATTTTGAGGCAGACAGAGTCTTGCTCTTTCACCTGAGCTAGAGTGCCGTGGCATCAGCCTAGCTCATAGCAACCTCAAACTCCTGGGCTCAAGTGATCCTCCTGCCTCAGCCTCCTGAGTAGCTGGGACTACAGGCACATGACACCACACCCAGCTAATCTTTCTATTTGTAGTAGAGATTGGGTTCTCCCTTTTGCTCAGGCTGGTCTTGAACTCCTGACTTCAAGTGATCCTCCTGTCTCGGCCTCTGGGAGTGCTAGGATTACAGGTGTGAGCCACCCTGGGAGCTCGTTGCCAATACACGCAGGTGGACTCTCTCATGTGCATAGCCACGGAACAGGTGCCGGGAAGATGAAATTCTCCAAGGAAGGCAGACGGCAGGGCAAGGCGTGGCCGAGGACTGGGTGGCTAGGTGCGTAACGCGTGTGAGCACGCAGCGGGAGCCCAAGGCTTTCCGGCAAGTCTCCGTGGGTGTGTGCACAGGCACGTGAGCAACCAGCTGTGCTGGCTCCTTTCCTTAGTCCTGGGTGATGTCCTGTCCCAGCAGGCTGGGAGCGGGCAGGGTGGCGGGAGACAGCTGTGGATGGGTTGGGAGGGTTAGATTCAGGGCTAGGCCAGGTAGGGCAGGCTTCCTCGACAGCCTCTCTCTCTACCCTGCTCGCTGCCCTCTTTCACAGACTCCGCCTCTGCCTCTGGCCCCCTATTTATAAAGCCTCATTTGTGTCTGTCACTTGCTCCTTGTGGCAGCCTGTGCCATAGGCACGATTGCCGTCCCCATTTAGCAGTGATGATGCTGAGGCTTAGAGAGCTAAACGGATGGGACTGACGTCCCACAGCTTGTGGACACCAGGGCTGGTGGAGAGGGAGGCCCAGGTGTCTCCCCTCTGTGTGCCCGCAGTCGGGCCCCCTCCCGGCCTCAGGGCCCCACTGTCCTGCCCCCTCCTCCTCAGTCCCAGGCTCGAGAAGCTGCAGAGCCTCACCATTCCTCTGGGGCCGCTGAGCCGTTCCACTTGTTCAGTGCACGCTCCTTTCCTGAGCCGGCTCCTGCCCAGGCCCCGGGGCTGCTTGCAGAGGACCCGGGGAGCTGGGCAGAGCAGCCCAGCACAAACAGTTCTGTGTCCTGAGGCGCTGTGGGCCCCACCCAAGCGGGGCAGGACAGCCCCAGCCTGGGCCTGGGCCGTGGGCAGGCTGCGCCTCGGCACTGACTCATGTCCGTCTGTGGGCAGCCAGTGGGCATCTTGGGGACGGGGCCCGGGGACTGCCCCGCTGCCCGTGCTCTCCAGGAGCATCTGGTTGTGATTAGGGGCAGAGAAGTGAGGGGGGCCGGCAAGGGTCCAGTAGGCACCAGCAGCCAAGAATGACTTAATTGGATAAAATATCTAATGACAAACCAGAGCCCCACAGCAGACTCCTGGCCTCGGCCCCAGGCCTGGTCCTGGCCAAGCCTTGCCTCAACCTCTGTCCTTGCTGACTCCTAAGAGTTACCCTCAGCATTGTGTCCTCAATTATACAGTGACTGAGTACCTGCAACTGCTAGGCACTCTCACTTTGAAGACTGTGGAGAGAGTCCAGGGGGAACTTGAGTTTCCCAAGGAGACAGGCACATAGTGACGCTAGTGGGTGCTCTAGAAAAGAGAGCCACATGCTGTGGCTCTGGGAGGGAGGGCAGAGGTCGAAAAGGGCATTTGACACAGGGTGGGCCTGAAATTGATGAAGGTCACAGGTGGGGAATATCAGAGCCACCCATCTGACGGTCTGTGTCCCATATACACATCCACAGGCGGTATGACAAATGGAATGACAATGCGAGGCACAGCCTTGGGGGCACAGATCTCTCTGAAATGGTAAAGGGTGGTTTTGTGTCATTTGGAATTAACTTAACAACCTAGGGAAAACTGGAGGGAACACGGAGCCTAGGAGCAGCTGCTAAATGGCCTGTGTGTGGCCACCTTCCAATCCTGTGCCCCTGGCAGACATTGCTAATTGATCTTGACAGTCTGTCTTGCTAAACACAAGTAGAGCCTCAGAATTCTTCTCAATTAGAGTGTTACTGGCTGTCACTAATCAATCGGAGATGGCATTTAAGATGAAACCGTGCCATCCCAGATCGTTTTTAGGTAGTGATAGGACTGAAACGGTGGTTCCCCGTGGGGCAAGGGAGGGGTGGTTTTTTTCCTCAGGGGATAACTGGCAATGTTTGGAGACATTTCTCATTTCTGGTTGTCACAACCTGGGGCTGGGGAGTGGTGGAGGGAGAGGTGCTATTGGCATCTAGTGGGTAGAGGCCGAGGATGCTGCTGAACATCTCACAGTGCACCAGACAGGCCCCCTGTCCCCAAGAAAGAATGATCCAGTCCAACCAACAACCCAATTTAAAAATGGGCAAAAGATTTAAATAGACAGTTCTCCAAAGAAGATATACAAATGGCTAATAAGCACCTGAAAAGATGCTCAACATCACTGATCATTAGGGAAATGTCAATCAAAACTGTAATTAGCCCGGGCTCAGTGCTCACACCTGGAATTCTAGCACTTTGGGACGCTAGGCGGGAGAATTGCTTGAGCCCAGGAGTTTGAGGTTGCAGTGAGCTATGATGACGCCACTGCCCTCTACCCTGAGCAACAAAGGGAGACTTTGTCTAAAAAAAAAAACAAAAACTGTAATGAGATACTACCTCATACCCATTAGGATGGCTGCTATTAAAAAAAAAAAACATAACAGAAAATAACAAGCATTGGTGAGAATGTGGAAAATTAGAGCCCTTGTGCAATGCTGGTGACAGTGGAAATGCTACAGCCATTTCGTATGGAAAACAATATGATGGTCCCTGGAAAAATAAAAAATAGAATTACCACATGATCCAGCAATTCCACTTCTGGGTATATACCCAAAAGAATTGAAAGCAGAGTCTCAAAGTGATATTTGTACATCCACGTTCATATCAACATTGTTCACAGTAGCTAAGACACGGAAGCAGCTTAATGAATGGGTAGGCAAAATGTGATATACACATACAGGGAATGTCATTTGACCTTAAAAAGGAAGTAAGTTCTGCCATGTGCTAAATCATGGATGAACCGTGAATTCATTATGCTAAGTGAAATAAGCCAATCATAAAAAGACAAATACAGTATGATTCTACTTATATGAGATGCTTATAGTAGTCAAAATCACGGAGGCAAAAATAGAATGGTGGTTGCCACAGATGAGGGGTAGGGGGAATGGCAATTTGTTGTTTAAAGGATACAGAGTTTCAGTTTTACAAGGTGGAAAGAGTTATAGAGACGGATATTGGTAATGGTTGCAAGATATTAGCAATGTATATAATACCATTAAACCGAACACTTAGACATGGTTAAGATGGTAAATGTTATGTGTATTTTAACACAATAAATTTTAAAATTAGGAAAAAAAGAGAATTATCCAGTCCAAAATATCAGTAGTACCAAGGGTGAAAAGCCCTGAACTAAAAGAACTCTGCTCTTGGCTCCTGGCCTCCTGATTCCCTAGAAGATGGCATTATGTGCCATTTCTGGCAGAGAAATAAGGAACTGGTTTGGAAGGTTCCAGAGCAGTGGTTTTCACCCTTGTCTGCAGAGTTCTTTAAGTCCAGGGACTTGTCAAAATCCCCCCTGAGAATCTTTTAAGAAATCTAATGCCCAGGCCACACCATAGGACTATTATATCAGGTCTCTAGGTCTCGAAACATTAGGAATTTTTTTTTTTTTTGAGACAGAGTCTCACTTTGTTGCCCAGGCTAGTGTGCCGTGGCATCAGCCTAGCTCACAGCAACCTCAATCTCCGGGGCTCAGCAATCCTCCTGCCTCAGCCTCCTAAGTAGCTGGGACTACAGGCATGCATCACCATGCCGGGCTATTTTTTTTTTTTTTTTTTTTTACATCAAGCAGGTATACATGATGGGCTATTTTTTTGTATATATATTTTTAGTTGGTCAATTAATTTCTTTCTGCCGGGCGTGGTGGCTCATGCCTGTAATCCTAGCACTTTGGGAGGCCGAGAGGGCGGATTGCTCAAGGTCAGGAGTTCGAAACCAGCCTGAGCGAGACCCCGTCTCTACCAAAAATAGAAATAAATTAATTGACCAACTAAAAATATATATACAAAAAATTAGCCGGGCATGGTGGCGCATGCGTGTAGTCCCAGCTACTCGGGAGGCTGAGGCAGGAGGATCGCTGAGCCCCGGAGATTGAGGTTGCTGTGAGCCAGGCTGACGCCACGGCACTCACTCTAGCCTGGGCAACAAAGTGAGACTCTGTCTCAAAAAAAATAAAATAAAATAAAAATTAATTTCTTTCTATTTTTAGTAGAGAAGGGGGTATCACTCAGGCTGGTTTCGAACTCCCGACCTCGAGCAATCCACCCGCCTCGGCCTCCCAGAGTGCTAGGATTACAGGCATGAGCCACCACGGCCGGCCAACATTAGGAATTTTTAAAGCTCTGTGGGTGATTCCAGTGTGCAGCTGAGGTTGGGAATAATCACTCCTTTGGAGGCAGAGCAACCTGGATTTGAAACTTACCTCCATCCCTAGCCTGCTGTGTGACCTTTAACCTCGGAGCCTCTGATTCCTGTCTGCAAAACGGAGAGATTGTATCTACCGTGGACAGCCAGTGTGAGGGTTAAAAGCATACATGCAAAGTGCTTGGCACAGAGCTGGGCATGTGGCCCTCCATACATGTTGGGTATCTCCTGTCCTGGTAGTCAGGTGTCCCCAAGGTCAATGACAGCATGGTGTCAGGGCCTCTGCAGAGTAAGTGGGCTGGTTGCCCCTCCTGGATCTTCACTCTGGACTGCTAACACTCAGTCTTCTTTCCCCTTCTCCCAGGTCCTGATGAAGGCCCAGGCTCTAGATGGACTGCCAAGGGGACCACGAAAAGCTGGAATCGGAGAGCCCGAGAGAGCCCTGGGCAGGTGTCGGAGCCGGACAGGACCCAGCTGAGCCAGGACCTGGGAGGGGGCACCCTGGCCATTGACACACTGCCAGATAACAGGACCAGGGTGGTGGTAAGTGCTGGAGGACTATGGAGGGGGAATGAGGTGAGGGTGGGGGTGTCTCACCAGGTGCCCCATATATATTGTCATACATGCAAATCACATGTCCTTTGGGGTTGGCCTTGCAGGTCAGAGTGAAGGGAAGGATTCCAGGAGAGGGGATGAAGGAGGGACCAGACTGGGTCATACAAGCACAGCATCTCAGAGCTTCATAGGCTGCCTACCTCCTCCTGGACCCAGGCAGGGGAAGTGACTTGCTCCAGGATGCAGTTTGGTCACAAGGTTCCTGACACTGGACTGTCCCACAACCTAGGGAAGAAAAAGCTGATGGTGGCATTGTCAGTCACATCCAAGCTGCTAGCTTGGGGCCCTCCTCCATCCCATTTCTGCCCCATCTGCAGACTGTGGGGCCCAAAAGGGCTAATGGCTGTAAAGGCACAGGCTGCTCAGCCTAAGGGCAAGGGACTTTGCTGGGGTCTGAGTAGAGAAAGCAATTAGGGTGCAGCTCAGGAAAGAACCTTTTCTGCCTGGGGTAGTTCTGGGGGGTAGTGCAGGGAGGAGGGGCTGAAGGCCAGGAGGAAGTGCCCCCCTTGTAGACTCTCTGGGAAGCGCATGGAGGCCACTGTGTGTTGTGAGTGAACCTGTAATCGTGTGTTTCTGGGGATGTATGTGCATGTTGTCACGGAATTAAACTTGGGTCCACTCGCCCATCGCAGCAAAGCCAAACACTGACACCAAGATTTGCAGCAAGAAGAAGAAAGGCATTTATTGCATGGTGCCAAGCAAGGAAAACATGCAACTAACGCCTAAGACCCAAATTCCCAGTAGCTTACAAGCAAGGGTTATTAAAGGCAGGGGTGCATTTTAGGAAAGCAAGAGTTACAGGCAAAATCACAAATCAGTACATGGATGTTATATTATACATTGGTTTGGCCCAAAAAGGCAGGATATCTTGAAGCGGGTGCTAATTGGTCATAGGTGGCTTTAGAGATTCTTTGACTAGCATTGGCCAAGGAAGCAAGGCTCCGTCTAAAAACGTGGAGTCAGCAGAAAGGGGTGTTGAGGTTTGGCCTGTGGGCGTGGCTCTCTCCAGGCACCCCGGGAAGAAATTTAGAACAAAGAATGGTTGTCAGAGTTCAGTCCTCAGTCCCCTCCCCTTATCTGAGGTCTGTGTGATGGTAGATGGTATTTTCTATCTGGTGGGGGTCCAGGTTTCTGAAAAGCAACTGAAAAATATATGTTAAGATATTGTCATCTAGTTTCTATGGGTAACCACGACACCTTGTGACCCCGGCTTGCTTGGGCGACTGTTGTTTTAAGTTATTACCATCTTCTTGCTTACCATGTAGCTCATTTACTTTTTAGGGTTAGTGAGGTGCCTGGAATTTCCCTTGAAGGGACTTAAGATTTTTCCTTTATTTTCTTGCTTGGGGGCACCGGCAGGCCCCTAAGAGCGGTCCCTGGTCATTCTCAGTGTCAGCAACAGTGTGTTTGCACATGCGTCTGAGGGTTTTTGTGTATTATGTACGTGATCCTGTGTGTCTGTCACCATGGGCTGTTTGTGAGTATCTGATGGGTATGTGTGAGTGTGCCCGTGGCTGTGCCTGTGTGCGCGCACACACGTGCGTGCACATGCGTGTGTAGGCACCCATGGCTGGGAGTGAGGAGGGTGGATTCTTGGGGCACAGAAAAACTACGAAATGAGAAGAGGCAACAAGAGGGTGTGCTTCTCAGTATATATTTCTTTTCTTTTCTTTTCTTTTCTTTTCTTTTCTTTTCTTTTCTTTTCTTTTCTTTTCTTTTCTTTTCTTTTCTTTTCTTTTCTTTTCTTTTCTTTTTTTTGAGACAGAGTCTCACTCTGTTGCCCAGGCTAGTGTGCCGTGGCATCAGCCTAGCTCACAGCAACCTCAAATTCCTGGGCTCAAGTGATCCCCCTGCCTCAGCCTCAGCCTCCCAAGTAGCTGGGACTACAGGCATGCGCCACCATGCCTGGCTAATTTTTTCTACATATTTTTAGTTGGACAATTAATTTCTTTTCTATTTTTAGTAGAGACGGGGTCTCGCTCTTGCTCAGGCAGGTTTCGAACTGCTGACCTCGAGCAATCCTCCTGCCTCCGGCCTCCCAGAATGCTAGGATTACTGGCGTGAGCCACCTCGCCCAGCCAGTATATATTTCTTTATTTTGTGTTTTCTTAAATCAAATGCGTACATGCAGATGGGCCAAAAGGCCAAATAGTGTGACAATTGTAAAACAAAACACAGCCATCCCGGTCCCGCCTCTCCCCTGCCTGGTGACCACCCTCCCCTTCCTCAGAAGGTGCTGCCTGAGCTGTTTCTTCTGGCCTTTGAGGCCATATTTCCAAGTAACCTGCTTGTTTTGTGCTGCTACCTCTTGATTAATAGTTTTTAGACGTTATCTGTTGACTGCCTGTTATGGTTCGGGAAGATTTGGCTCTTGTACCCTTCTGGAAACATCGTTTCACTCCCTCTCCGTCTTTTTGTCCAATCCAATGGTCAGTTTTATATCATGACTGCCATGTAAATATTGTTGGTGACTAACCCAAGCAAGGTAGCATCATGGTTTCTTTTCTTGTGTGATTTTTGTTTGTCCTGGATCCTTGCCCCACCTCCCACCCTTGCTTGGTTTTCAGTGTTACCATGGCTACATTTCCTTACGAGTCCATGGGCCTCAAGTATGATTTTCAGTGTGGTCAAAGCCTATCGGTTCTTTCTCTCCCTGGGTTCCTCTCTCCTGCCTGCCCCAGGGGCACCATCCCTGGGCCCCCTTTGTCTCTCTCCTGTGTTGGGTCCCCTGTCCTCTTGGTCCTGTGTCTTCTCTTTCCTGCTTCACCCCCTCATTTGGTTGGCTTCCTAAGAAGGTTTGCACAGGAGGAAACATTCTCTTGAGCACTCACATGTCTGACAATGCCTTTATTCTGCCCTTTCCTTTGACTGGTGATTTGGCTGAATATAGAATTCTAGATTAAAAATAATTTTCCTTCAGAAGCTTGAAGGCATCTCACCATTGTCTTCTGGCTTCCGATGTCACTGTTAAAAGATTCTTTTTTTTTTTTTTTGAGACAGAGTCTCACTCTGTTGCCCAGGCTAGAGTGAGTGCCATGGCGTCAGCTTAGCTCACAGCAACCTCAAACTCCTGGGCTCAAGCAATCCTCTTGCCTTAGCCTCCCGAGTAGCTGGGACTATAGGCATGTGCCACTATGTCCAGCTGATTTTTTTTTCTATATATATTAGTTGGCCAATTAATTTTTTTCTATTTATAGTAGAGACGGGGTCTCGCTCTTGCTCAGGCTGGTTTTGAACTCCTGACCTCAAGCAATCCACCCGCCTTGGCCTCCCAGAGTGCTAGGATTACAGGCGTGAGCCACCATGCCCGGCCTGTTAAAAGATTCTTGATCTTAGTATATACCTGTTTCCCCCTAACTTCTGGAAGCTTTCAGGATGTTCCTTGCAACCCTGTTGTTTAAAAATTGCAGTGACATGTCCTACTCTGGCTCTTCTCTTTCACCATGTTGGACATTGGGGCACTGTTCCAATCTAGAGACTTTTTTTTCTTTTTTGTGACAAGGTCTCACTCTGTCACCCAGGCTAGAGTGCAGTGGAATGATCCTAGCTCACAGCAACCTCAAACTCCTGGGCTTAAGCAATCTTCCTGCCTCAGCCTCCCCAGTAGCTGGGACTACAGGCGCATGCCACCACACCCAGCTAATTTTCTGTAGAGATGGAGTCTTACTATTTTGCCTAGGCTGGACTTGAACCCTGGGATCAAGTGATCCTTCCACCTCAGCTCCCAAAGTGCTAGGATTACAGGTGTGAGCCACCGTACTTGGCTTCAATCTAGAGACTTATCTTCATCACTTCCGGAAAGTTTTTGTGCTTTATTTCTTTGATATTTTTCTCCCTACTATATTTTCTCTTGACTAAATTCCTCTTTGTTAGATGTCCATTTCTGGATTTGATCCTTCAATTTTCTTCTGTCTTCTGTTGTCCATCTCTTTTGCATTTTTTGTCATTTACTTTTTAGTTTGCTTGTTATCGTTGTTTCACTTTCTGGGAGATTTTCTCAACCTTATTTTCATAATGTTACTAATTTTTTTCTACTATCACATTTTTAATTTCTAAGGATTCTTTATTATTTTCTGATTATTTCTTTCCTTTTTAAAAAAAGCCTCCTATTTTTGTGTCGTGGGTGTACTATCTTCTGTCTCTGAGGCTATTGGAACATTTTTGAGATTTTTTTTTTCCCTGCTATCTGTATCGTTTCAGTTACTGATTTTTTCCTTTTACCTCAAGCTTGGAAATGGCTTGGCACTGTGACTGAGCCTGTCTTGATTTAAAATTTTGATATTATGTTCATCAAAATATTATCTTTCCTTGCATTAATTTTGATTTTTGAAAATATTGCATTAAAATATTCTTTCTCTTGATTCCTGAGTTTTTGGGGGCCACCTGAAATGTTGCACCTGAGGTGAGTGCCTCTTTCGCCTCACCCTGGACCTGAGGTGGAATCTCAGAGGACACGACCCGCTTTCTTCCCATTCTGCCCTGTGGTCTCCATCCCGCAGAACCACAAAGCAGCAGAGCCAGGGCGGGTGACGGAGTGGAAGGCCAGGGCGGGAGAAGTCCCTGAGTAAGGAGACACCTGGCGCTCACCCCCCACCCCACAGCTTTGTTGGGCCATTGGTTGAATAACTGATACCTGCTCCATTCTGAGCTAGACACGATGGTCAGAAGGATTTTGTCGCAGTCAACACAAAGAGGACCTTTCAGAAAAGAGCCAGATGCAGACTTCTGGAAGCAATTGTCTGCGGGCATTCAGAAAGAGCAGTGGGGTTCATTAAGAGCTAGTATGGATTCAATAACACCAGGGTTTAAAAAACAACATCACAAATTCTCGGGCTCCACCCTGGACCGACTGGGTCTCAGAAACATTGAAGATGGAGCCTGGGGATTTGTTTCTTTCAAAGGTCCCCATGTTTTCCCGGCAAAGTCAC